AGAAATTCATTTAGCTCATGCAATATATATAGCAGGTTCTGTATCTTTATAATTATTAATTTTCATTGATGCAACACATAATTCATTAAAGAATTTAAAAAATGAGAGAGAAAAACAAATTGGAAAAGAATAAGAAATAGATAAAATTTAAGGAGGTGTAGAAGGAGAATTTGAAAAATTGCATGGTATTGTTGATCAAATTCAAGATCTAAAATTAATTTAATAGAATTTATTATCAGTTTTTTCTCCAATGGTAAAGTAAATATTGTAAGAGTGTTTAAATTAAATGGAGACTGAAGAAAATGCTATGAAATAATAACCACCTATTGTTTAAGTGAGTTTAATCACAATGTGTAAATTTATGTGCTTATCAGAATCTTATTGTAGAGAGAATATTTAAATGTTATTTAATATAATGAAGTATAAAATATATTTTTAATTAGATCTCCTCTTATTGATTAAGTAATGAAAAATAATGTAATAATTAGTATTGGAGATTTATTACATAGATGGCCTAACACAATTTAAAAGTTTCATAAATAAATATATTCAAATTTATCTGATACAAGTGCTGCAGTTCGTAGAGTAACTCTCCTTGTATTGACACATTTGATTTTGAATGACATGGTTAAGAGCAAAACTTCATTGTCTCATATTCCTATTTTATTAAATGATCCTCATCCTTAAATACCAGCTATGGCAAGATATTTTTTGAATGAATTACAGAAAAAGGAATAAAGAGCTATAACTAATGCTATTCCTGATATCATTTCAAATGTTTAAGAATAAAATGAAAATGTTCTATCATAAATCTCTTAATATATAGACAAATCTTAAGTTGAATCTATTGTTGATAAACTAATTACAATTTTAGGAACTAGTTAAAGTATTTATTTAACTTTATGTATCTTTAAGATTAATACGAAATAAAAAATATATCTATACTGTTTAATCACATAAATTTAACCTAAAATTCATTATAGAGGTTATTAGATGGTTGGGAAGAATACAGAGAAAAATTAAGAGACTAATTTGTGTATAATTAATTTACAATTTTTATTAAAAAGGTAGTATTTTATTTAAATCTATAATTTAAGTTGAAAAGAACTTTGCCTTAAGACGCCAAACCTTTAATTGAAGAATATGAGATGAAAGTGGAACATCATGATAAAGAAACATTTGAAAATAGGAGAAGAGAAAAAATAACAAAGAAAAAGAATATAAAACAAACATAAAATGAAAATAATAATGATAAGGAATAAAAAGAAAATAAAGGTGGAAATAGATAATAATAATAATAATAATAATAATAGAAAAAGAAAACAAAAAAGAAAAATGAAGATGATTTCATGGAATTAGAATCAGATTCAGATGATAATAGTTAAGAATCATTAGTAATTAAGAAATAAATAAGTACAAGAAGAAAAAAATCTACAAAAAAAGATGAAGATGAATGATTTTTACAATATTTTATAATAGTTTATTTTACCCATTAATAATAATAAAAACAATGGAATAAGCCTCTAATTATTTTTTTAATTCACCTTAAAAATAACAAAAAGGCTTTTGGGATAGAAATTTTGATTTATTGCTAAATAAGAATGAAAATTTCTAAATTTCAAATGATAACTGCACTACTTTCTATAAAAAGGGTAAATTATTTAAAAAATGGATACCAAGATAATATACTATATAAGGAAATTATTTATTGTATGGAGATAATGTAAAATATAGTATTATTCAGAAAATGAAAGGGTTCAGGAAATTAGATTGTGTATACTTACATTACAACTTACTAGACAATGTATATAGATATCAATTACAACTGATATATTGTGGATTTGTTCTAGACCTCTATACTGATCAAAAGAAAGATTATGATAATTTCAAAGAATTACTCTAATAGCATTGCATTTTAACTGATTTTCATACTTAATATAGTATATTGAAACAAATTGGTTTTGGCTCAAATGCTTAAGTAATTATTTTATGTTAATAATTTAAGGTTTATATTGCAAGAAGTAATTACAATAAACAGTACTATGCCATTAAGAGGGTCTTAAAAAATTATTCAATTAAATAAAAGAAATTAGAGTAAGAATAAGCATTAAAAAATGAAATTTAGATAATGAAAGAACTAAATCATCCTAATATAATATCTTTTCATGAAGTTTTTGAGACAAATAGTAAATAATTTATAAATTTATAAGAACATATTAATCTTGTTTTAGAATTAATTTAAGGAGGAGAATTACTCAAATAAGGATAATATAAAAGTATAAGGGATGCAAGAATGGTAGCACGATAATTGGCTTTATGTGTAGATTATATGCACTAAAAAGGTATTATGCATAGAGATTTGAAACCTCAGAATATTTTATGTAAAACTAATACATCTGACGTTTTAATTGCTGATTTTGGTTTAGCAACTCATATAAAAGATTAAAAATAATTATATTATAGATGTGGAACAACTGGATATGTTGCTCCTGAAATATTGATGTATAAAGAAGGATCTAAGATGTATAATGAAAAATGTGATATATTCAGTCTTGGAGTCATTTATTATTAACTGTATTTATATTATAAACCTTTAATTTTAAGAATTTATAATACACATCCATTTAAGGATACATAGAAATCTGGAATTTTAAAGAAAAACATGGAAGTTGATTATAAATTTGAAGATTCAATTAAAGTACCATAAAGTTGCAAAGATTTAATATCTTAAATGTTAAGATTTAATCCAAAATTAAGACCATCAGCTTCACAAATATTAAGACATGATTTCTTTAATGAAAATTTGAATGAACTTTCTTACCCAAGTTTAATAAGTTCATTTTAAGAGTATATTAAAAATAAAAATAATTTAGTTTAAGTGAATAAAAGAAATCTGGTCACTCATTTAATTCATAGATTGGTGAATTGAAGTTCTCAACATTTTAGAAAAATGGCTAAACTGTTTTTGAGAAAATACCATTCTTAGGAATTAATGAGATTCATAATAATAATTAAGGTATTGAATTTAAAGAGAGATCTCCTATTTGGAATAAAAGGATTGAATTATAAAGACCAGCTAGTTAACCAAGATCAAAAGCTTAATCACTATATTCGTATAAGAACTTAGAGATTAGAGGAAATAAAGTTTCGATATTTCGTTAATAATCAAAGAATTCAGAAAATGATTTAGATTAATCTCATTAATATCCTTACATTAGCATAGTGAATAGATGTAAAATAAGAAATAAATGAATTTTTAATACTATTTAATAATATAATTCATGGCAAATCATATAATTATTTTTATATCTAAATATATAATAAAGTCTATATTTAATATGAGTAGAATTATTGTAATATTATTACAAACATGAATAAATTCATTATATAAAATATTATCTAATATAATTAATTATGACTAAAAAATAACATTAATTATATACCTTATAATAAATAAGAGGATGATTTGAGCTGAAAATTTAATGGATAATAATACAATATCGTAGAAAATCTGTATAATAATACATATATAATAAGTTTTGTTGTTTCAATATACATCTTTAAGAAAGTTAAATAATATTAAAAGTATTATAAATTATAGATTATGGCATCTTGTAACAATATAAATTTTTATAGATTGTATTAATCTTCTAATTCATTCATATTATTTCTATTTCATCTTTTATTGTGACGATATCAAAAAAATTTTAAATTAATATATGAATCATTCAGACGGTGCTCAATCTCCTCCTTTATTTGGTATGTATCCTTTACCATATTGGCCAACAAATTCATAATTTCTATTAATGATGAACTTTTAAAATCCTTTGATGAGTCCAATTCATAATCTAGGTTCTCCAATTTTAACTTCCAACATTAATTTTCCTTAATCAATTATCAATTTTGATGTCAAATGTGATCAATGTAAAACTTTTAAATATATATCTAGCATAAATTTTAAAGGATGCACCATAATAAAAACAACCCTAACAATATTTTAGTCAAATTTAAACTATACAGTAATAAATTGAAGAAATGAATTATGATGATATAACAATTGAAAATCTTGAGCAAATGATACATTTATTATTTGCAGATTCATCTAAAATCAAAAAGATAATCTAGAAACTAAAAGAAAAAAAATGTGTTAAAGTAATCAAAATTTTAGACACTTTAACAAAAAAAATAAGATCATAATCAAAGAGTAGAGAAGAATTAATTAAATTTTGTTTAAGAAAAGCATTTAGAGAGATTTTTCATGAAATATAAGAAAAAAATACAAAATCAAGTAATACTATCTTTATTCTTTTTAGAACTGAATCTAAAAGCTGCATCCAAACTATTCTAATAATCTTATTAAGCAGAAAAATCAAAATAGATATCTTTACCTTTTAGAAAAAATAGCAAAATAAAAACTATGAATAATCATTTTTTGCATGAATTATTCTAATCTAAATAATTTATAGATTAGTACAAAACCTTTTTGGGTATTATTCATATCTATTTTCAGATAATCTTGATGCAATTATAGAAAATGATAGGAATAAAAAAATTAAAGCCTTAGCTGAAAAATCATGGGAATTTATCTCATCAAATAGAAAAGTATCATGTTTTTTTACAATAATATTAGGCATACACTGTAAAAAGATTACCATGGTCTATTAAAAATATAGAAAAACTTAAAGAAACAGCTAATGAGTTGCTAAATTACTGTGATGAATAATAAAAATTATGAATTTAATATAATTAAATCAAAATTTATAAATTAGTAATATTATCAGTTTCCTATTCTAAATTGTAATTATGTGTAAATTTTTTAATTTAATAAATCTAAGTGTACTTTCAAATGATTTCAACAATTTTTATAGTTTTTATACTGGTATTTTTATATTTATGATTCTTTTTTTATTTATAAGTCACAATAATAAAAGTTAGTTTAATAATTAAAATAATAATTAATTAAAAAATTGTTTTAATATATATATATATATATTAAATATTCATTTTACTTAATTATATTATTATTGTCCTTGATATGATTAATTATATGATGATGATGTTTACTATTATTCCCTTACAGATACTAATTTATATCCCTTTCCACTTTTTACAGCCTCTATAATTGCTTAAGTCATTGCAATATCTTCTATATTACTTTAATGTTTAAAATTTAAAGTATTATATTTTTATCTTAATTATTAAAGTTCTTATTCTTTATATTTAGTGGCTTCATCAGTAGGATCTTATCTATAGATCATTACATTAAGTTTATTTTTTAAATCTATACTTGATTTTTATTTTATTTTAAGTTAACTTTCTAATTACAAAATTTCTTATTTAGCTTATTCAACCTATAATATTTAATATTGAATTTTTTACTTTGAATGAATCTTCTGTGCTTTTCTTAATTTAAGACCCAGTTCTTTGATGTTATAGATTTCCTTATTTTTGAAGACTAATCTAATTCATTAATTCATAGACTCTTTCTTAAAGTTCATAAACTTTATATCTCCAATAATTTTCAACTTATTCTTAAGGACTTAATTATTATTATTCTTGAACAGTTGTAACAGTCTCTTATATAATTTATTAAGGTCCTTTAATGTCCTAATAAATTTAAACTTATGGTATTTATTAAACAACATAATTTTATTATGATACTTAAGGAATTATTTGAGGTTATTAAACATTTAATTGTAAATTTTATACAGGAGACTATTATAATTATTAAGTGGATGTAGAAATGATTTATTAATTTTATGGTACATTTAATTAAATATTCTAAATTGGTGATTATTAAAGCTATTGAGAATATAGGAAATCATTTCTAGGAGGAGTATTGATGATTTATGAAAAGTTTTAAACAGTTGTGGTATTTCTTGAAGTTAATGGTTAACCAACAGTTTAAGACAATACTACTTCTGGTTATTAATAGACAACTAAGAAAATTAAGATTTAGAATTACAATTATTTTGTGTGGTAGTAGGGACAACTTCTTTACCATGTAATCCATGTTAACATAGATAACATTATTCTTCATATTTTGCAGAATAAAATGTTGAAAATTATTCTGAATTTTTAATTCCCGCTTTATGAATTATTTATTACTCTATAGGTATTTATTATGTAATTGTTGTATCATATTCAATTGGTTTAAGTTGATTTTATTAAGTTTGTTAAGATTAAATGAGTGCTGGACTATATTGCATTTAATTTTGTTGAATAATACCAATTTATTAAGTAGTGTTTTAAATATTTTTTTGATTGTTTTAAGTGATTCCTCTTTTTACTGGTATTGGTTATCCTACAGTTTAAGAAACAATAACATCAGGAGTTGAATAAACAACTACATTTAAATAAATTATGAATTTAATACCTACAGGATCTCCTACTATGGTTCCACTAGAATGAGCTTATTGTTCTGTACCATGTAATCCATGTTGACAAAGATAACATTATTATTCAAATTTAGGTGAATAGAATGTAGTAATTGCTTCTTATTTTGTTGTTGACATATTTTTTAATTAAATAAAAAGAAATAAATTTTATCTAAATAATATTTCTAAATTTATTTTCAAAGAATTTTTAAAACATAATGATGAAGCATAAGTTAAAAATTTTTAATTACAAAATTGAAAAATTGACTTAAAATTAAAATAGTTTCTTTATGTATTTTTAACTCATTATGAATTTCTTGAATTTAAATTAACAAAAATATTTGAATAAGAGAGACGTTACTTATAAATTGATACACCATTAGAATTTTTAAATTAGAAACTTAGATTTTTAGAATAAGAATGTAAAACCATGCTTTGTAATGAATGAAAAAAAATAAAAATGAATACATTTGAATAATAATAATTATATATTCGTTTTTAATGTCGAATATCTACTTAGCTTTAGTAGTGTTCTTGATTATGTCCAATCTAAATCTTGGAGTAACTCAATGGTTACCTACATATGAGGCATTCACAGGTGAAAATATCGACGATCTAAATGGTACAATTTAATGTCAGCAAACATAGGATGGGTGATACAAAATCAATATGAAGCTACATTTGATGTTGTAACAAAATGTGGACCAATATAAATTTTAGGAGGTTTGAAGTCATTTGGTTCCCAAACAACATTAACAAAGTTGATTAAGATTCCTCCACATTATAGACTTAAATTTATAATACAATTATGGAAGTACTACCCAACAGTTATATAGAATAGGCGATTGGGAAAATGATAAAATTTAAGTGTTTGTGGATGGTGTACCTTGGGAAATGAAATGGGGTTTTACAGAAGGAGCAAAATAATTATGTAGTGGTCCAAAAATACCTAACAGTGATAAAGTTTATGATGTTGAATTTGAAGTAGCTCATAATTCTCCAACAGCTACTATCGTTATAGCTAGTACTTAAGTTCAGAAAGCAGATAAATAGGCATGGGGCATGAGAAATATAAAAATCTCTTTTAAAGATTGTCCATCTCAATGTGGAATATGTCATAATGATAAAGTTAATGAATGCAAATTTTGGAAGTAAGTTGATCTTAGTTGGTTTCGTACTGATACTTCATTAGAAGGATGGAATTTATAAGAAGGAAAATAAAAATCTTTTTAATGTTCAGGAATTGTTATGTTTGGAGGCCCCAATAATATCGGTAGTAAAGCCGTTTTAACTAAATAAACAAAAAACCTTCCTCCTCATTAAAAAGTAATGATCAAATTCACTTTATGGAAAGTATCATAATATCATATATTTTAAGTTTGGATTATGGGATAATGATCAATTTTATGTGTATATTGATGATGAATAAGTATATAAGTAAACATTCTAAAAATTAGATGGATTAAGCATATGTGGAGAGTAATTTTTTATTATTTATGTTATTAAGTTCAAAACCAGGATGTGGATAGAAATTAGTAAATATAGAAATAATCTAAAAGCATAAGAAGAATGAAATGACAGTAAAATTCACTTCTTCTTTAAAGTAAGGTACATATTTATTTAACAATATTTTAGATCCTGAAGATCAATCATGGGGTATAAGAGATTTTTTCTCTTTTGTAGCAGAATGCCCAAAATTTTGTAAGAGTTGTTTTGGATCAGGAGATAATGAATGTTTAAAATGTGAAGAAACGCATTAATTAATTGAAGGGAAATGTATTAATAAAGATGATTGGTTTATTTTATCAAAAGAGTTAAATGATTCATAGAGTTTTAAAAAGATAAAAGAATGGTAGATTGAAAATATAGACCCAATTCAATCTGAAGTTGAGAGTTCACCTATCACATAATGTGGTAAAGATGTCAGTATTTTTGGAGGCTACAAAATATTGGCAAAAGTATATTATATTATATTATTTAGAAATCATAAGTTTCAAAAGTTTATACTAATATTCCTGCACATAATTTCTTAAGATTACGAATTACTATGTATAAAATAGACAGATGGGATGGAGAAGAATTGATTATATTAGGGGATGATAAATAAATATGGAGTTAACTTTTAGGTTGGAATGACCCTGGGTAATCAAATATATGTGGTGATCCTAAAAGTCCATGGAAAGAAAGAATTATGTTTATAGATTAAGTTATTGAGCATAATAAAGATGAATTTAAATTAACTATTACATCAACTTTATAAGCAACTGCAGATATTGCTTCATGGGGATTTAGAGATGTTATGTTACTATATTCTCCCATAAAAGAATGCATTACAGTTTTTAGTGAATGTAATTATGAAGGTGAATAAGGATAGATTTGTGATAATATTGAAGAATTAAATAAAGTATAAATTGAGTATATAATTTATAGTTTAATTTTCAAATAAAATCAATGTAGATACCTGAAGGATTGAAATTTGTTGGTTTTAAGAATGCTAAATTTAAGGGAGATAGAGTTGAATACTCAACTAACTAGAAATGTCTTGAAGATATTTAATTTTCATTTATCTAAAGATTATGAATCATAAAAAGACAATTTAAATTATATGTTGATAATTTTCATTAGGATATTTCTTATTCAATAATAATAATTTATTTTTATGAAGGATTTCTAATTAAATATATAAATAATATAATGAGTAGCAATAATAATGGATTGAATGATCTAGAATTATTAAGATTAATTCAATAAGAATTTCAATAGGATAAATCACCTGTTTATGATGAAATTAGTGATTAATATTCTTCAGTTAGTGATGATGAAGAAATAATTATAAGAGATCCATCATCTTAAATAAGTAAATTAATTTTAAATTATTTTAGCTGATGAGTCTTCATTATCATAATAATAAGAAAAGAAAAAAAGTAGATGGAAATATGTAATGTTTAATTAGTATTTATTTAGTGTTGTTAATAATGTACTAAATCTGACAAAGGTTCTATTAAACCTAAAACTTGTGTTTGTATAGTACCTGCATCTTAGAGAAGAATTTAAATTGGTGAATAAGGATGTCTATCCTGTCATTGCACAGGATGTTCAATTGAAGATGAAAAGAAAAAATAAAAAAAAATAAAAAAGAAAAGAAAATCTTCTTCAGATTCAAGTTCAGATGAATCTTCAGATTTTAAAACTGTGAATGGATGTTGTAAGAAATGTATGAAAGCATTTTCTAAAAAAGGAAAGGAAGCTAAAGTTTAGATATTATTAAATATTATTATAGTCTTGTTTATGTCAAGTACCAAGAGCTGTTAGAAAGAAACCTCTTCCTCCACATGGATGTTAGTATTGCGGATGTCATGGATGTAATCCAGAGGATAAGAAGAAAGATAAGCCTAAAAAAAATAGTCGATAATTATCTCCTGTGTCTAGTGATTTGAATGAACAGAATCTTAATAACTTTTAAAATGCTCGTAATATTGGGTTATGATGTTAGCTTTAATTTAATTGTTAAATTCTTAGAATATCAATCCAGGCATTATAGGAATAGGTATACCATAAAGGACATACTCATATATTTATGGGAAGGAACAAGGACGTTGAGAATAAAAACTTATTAAATTATTTATAATCATAAACTCTTTTAATCAATTAATGAACGTAGTAATTTTATTATTCAATAGCAAAGGAATTAATAAAGTTAAGAGTAACCAAGACCATACAAAAAACTGTAAATATTTGTAGAATCAAAATAAGATAGATTGATTTAATATATAGAAACAATTACTTTTTTTAAAGCAATATAAAAAAAGGCTGTTATAATAATGCATTTCTTTCATATCTCAAAGATAATCTATTAAATGTTGAAGTTATAAAATTAATAAATGAAGAATACTTCTTTTATAAAAAATGAATAACAAAATTTAATTATGTTTTATAATGATCAATTTTCATTCCATATGATTATTGGCAAACAATCTTAAAAAATCCTATCCTAATGAAGTTTAAAATGGAACTTTAATTGGTTCATCATTTCTTTAAATGGCAGAACTATTATTATATTTTATAACTATTTAAGCTTCATTTCTTAAATGTGCTGAAGTTATTTGAGAATTAAGAGGGGAACGCAATTAATTTTATTTAAGATTTGCTGATTTAGGATGTCTTTACTAATTATATTTATTTCCATCATCAGTATGATATCCTTATATATCATTTTATTAAAACTTTTTGAAATTCATCTTATTATTCATTTTAAAAAAATCTAAATCAAAATCTACATCATTTACTTCTTAAATTTCTAATAATAATAAATAAAATAAAATTACTTTCATCATTTATTTATGCATACATATTTTTAATTGGAATATCAACACTCTCTCTTTAAATATTATTAACAACATTTTCTAATGGTAATTCTAATCCAGTGGCTTTAGGAGGAGTTTTATGTCTTGATGGAGGACGTAATTCATTATTAGTTTCTAATAATTCATTTAAATCATTTTATTTTCTTCTATATCCTGATCGAATGGAGATTAGTTCCTATTTTCATACTCATGACTTACCTTTGGAGATGATTTAAAATTGATATCAATTATTTCTTAATTGTCTTTTTCTTCTAATATTATATTTGCTTCATATTCCAATAATTCACATTCAGTCTCTTTTTTCTTCTCATAATTCTAATCAGTCTAATTTAAGGAATTCATAAATCTCTTTCTTTTTCCACCTTCAGAAGTCTAAGGTCTATTAATTTAGATATTTGTCTTTCTCAAACTTGTTATTGGTTCTTCCTTAATTAAAGACTTATTTTATCTATTACATATATTATATTCTGATACATTTATTCATCATTCTAAATATGCAATTAGAAATTTTAATGATCTTCACTATCTGCTGCTTCATTTGATTCATTTGAAAAACAATCATTAATGTATTGATTTGCTCCATTATTATCTATATCAATATCCTCTTTATCATCTCTAGGAGTCAATTGTTCTTATTATTCCTCATCACTATCTAAATTATCACAACATAATTTGTTTTCAATTAGATTTTATTGAGTCTGAGGTCGCCCATCATTTAATCTAAGTGGTCTTATACCTTATTATGTAAAGGCTCGAGATTATTAAGACTATGGCTTGAAATCATAACGTTGTCGTTCATACTCTTGACTTTTCCTTTTAGATAATTGAGACTTTTGGGCATATATCTTAGAGATTTGCTGAATATTGCTATTAGTTTTAGGTGCTTACCTAAAATACTTACATATATATTACATAATCCTATTATAAGGATTAGGAGCCATATGAATAACAGTTGTCAATGGTTACTAATAAGGACTTTTTAATTATAATCGTTCTTTTCGAGTCTATTGTGGAGCTGTTCCTCCTCTTTTTAAATTTTCCCTAAACTAATGTACATCCTTCATAATACCCTTGATTTGTGAACCAACTCAAGTAAAATGGCTATTATTATTGTTATTGTTATCCCTTCTTTGGTTTAAACATTTAATATAATATAATGGTAAACACTCAAATAATATGTCATCTTTAACCGCTACCCAAATATTGACTGAAATTAGTTAATGGAAATTATTATCCTTGTCTCTATTAACTCATTTATACTTATTGTATAAGCTATAAAATTATATATGAATTACATGTTGACTAACATTAGAGAAATATCCATCTTATCCTTAAGGTTTTTTAATAGGAACTTGATTAGATTTAATTTCATCTTTAGGAATGATATCCATCAAAAAGTCAAAGATTTCTGTGTTGTAAATGCATGTTGCAATGTCAGTCTTTTAGAGTGTTCTTCTTTTTCCATCTTCAGTGAATTACCATGCTCTATGTGTTAATTCAATAATGAAAATTTCGCATGCTTTTGCAAATAGAACTGGTGTTTCTTAAGCAATCATCTAACAATATAAATAGAAAACAATACTCTAACATCTTCATCTGATTTCATTATTTTCTTAACTCTAGCTAATGGTAATTAGTGATTTTTGAATAGCTCAGGATCTGTTTCTAAAACAATTTAATACCTTTAGGCATCTACATTATTTCCTCTTTCAATTCAACTAATTTCTCTTTCAATTTTTTCATATGTTCTTATTAATGGACATCCTATGAATAATATTTAAGAAATCAAATACTACATAATGGTTTTGTATATCAAATTATTCATTAGGTTATTACATTTTAAATATAATTTTATAAATATTTCATTCATTCTAAATATTATTTGTATTATCAATTTCATCAACTTTTAAGATCTAATTATTTTTGACTACTTTAGTATTTCCTAATATTTCAATAGTAAATGAATCAAAAGTTTTGGTCATTAATTTAAGATTAGTTGATGAACTCAATGATAATTTTTAAAGAGAATCATGATCACTATTCAAAGATCTACTTATAATATCTCTTTATCCTTATTAAATTTAATTATTTAATGAATTAGATAAATTACGTATTCTCTTTCCTTATTATTATTGTTTATTCTCTTATACTTATTAATTTTCTTCTTAATCTTTTAAATCCATTTTATGAAATACATTTTTTAATTTATTTAAAGTATCTAAACCAGAGAATGCTCCAATTAATTTATCATCATCATCAGAATCATCATTATTATTTAAACTATCAATTGGAGATTGTCTATTTAAACAATCAATAAAGATATTATCTTTAGGTTCAATTATTTCATCTATACATTCATCATCAATAGCAGAAACAATAAGAGGATAATCAATTGAAGGAGTATCAGAATCCTCACCTAATCTATATATATGTTTCTCCTCATATTTTTATAATTGTTCTTTAGATTATCTCCAAAATTGGGATCTTTTAAGAATATTCTCAATCTACATTAATTCATTATAATATGGTAAGAAATCACTATCTCTTATAAGTTTAACTTATAATTGTTATTCAAAGATTAATATCTATCTATTAAATTACATAATCTACTGTGCATATAATTTATACTTAGTAAAAATTTATACACACCAAAAAGGATGAAAATCACTTATTGCTCTATCTAAAATAAATATTATCATATTATTAACATATGATATAAAAATATCTGAATTTTTAAACTTTTTTACTAAATTTAAAATTATTTCCATAATGTTTGATTTATCTATTTTATTCCATAATTCTAAATCTGAAATTCTTACTAAATTATCTACAATCTAAATTTATTGCAATCACATACTTCAATTAATTTCACAGCTAATAATCCTAATCTGCAATTATTTAATAAAACATTATTCAATATGTCTTTAATTATTTAGATATTAAATGTCTAATAAAATTCAGTTTATCTAAAATTATCTATTATAGTCTCATTGCTTGGTTCATCTAAATATAGATTTTGCATATCTAAAGAATAGTAATTAGATATTAATGATAATATATGTGCAGCATTCTTTCTTACTCTATCAATATTAATTAACAATATATTATTACATAAAACTCAAATTACAATTTTCTAACACTTCAAATGATTTAGCTATTGCTTAACTTGATAATAAAAAATTTATTAATTCTTTTGTAGCAATTCTTGTAATAATTTCATGAATTAAAAAAGTAAAATTTATTGCAGTACAAGGATCAAATTCATTAAACTAATTAAAACCTTTTTTAAGAAAACTTAGCTATTAATCATGATATTAATTTTCGAAAAATAGTAATATAATTAATGCTACACTCTTATTATGTAAATGAGGTAAAAATTTAATTAGTAAATAATCTATTTCAAACAATGCTTTTGGGATTAAACACCAAGATCGTTATTTAATAAATTATAAAAATTTATGTGCCTAAGCCCATTATACATCTGGGACATTTTAATAGTTTAGTAAATCATATACTTATGTTGAATTATTCTAAAATATTATTAACTCTTTATTACCTCTATTTATTATAAAATTTATTCTATATTAAGATCTATAATTTCCCATACTATTGAAATAAGATCTGAGTATATGATATATTAAGATCTGTGAATTTGATCATAATTTATAAATAGAATCCTCAATAATTAGTTGATATTTTTTATTATGAATTCAATCGCAATTGCATCTGATACTCTAACATATTTCATGAAGGTTTCTACTTATAATAAAGTTACCAAGTCTGAATTAGCATCTTGAATCAATTATTCAACGATATAAATTGTTTTATCGTTGTACATTTATTATATATATATATAATTATATCAAAAACGTGTTGAACTTGTTGTTGTTGTTTACTAATTTAAGATGATGATGTAATAATATCCTAAAGTATAATTTAGTATTTAAATTACAATTGTTTAATTAGATACTACAATCTATATTCTATTCATTTCATAAATCATTTATCTATTGATTTACTTTCTTAATATTCTTATTTAGGTACATTAAAATATTTAAAATTAAAAATAATCTAATTTAGATCATTAATATTAGCCCTCATTTATTCAATCTCATCAATTTTTATGTGAAATTGCATTTTAATATATCAATTTCTTTATTTAATTGAGACAATATATTAATCACTTAATTGCATTAATTTAAAGATATATTTATTAAAGTCTCATCTTGAAGATATTAAATCTATTTTCTAGTTTAATTGATTTGATACTAATCAAAAATATTTTTAATTTTGAGGGTTATTAATGTAATCATTTCTATTTCATTCTAGATTAAAGCTGTCTTAATTTTTATAATTCATCTATAAACTATAAGTTTATTTAATTAGTTCTTAAATTCACTACTTTACTTTTCTAATTATAGAATCTTGTCCTTAATATCATTTAATATTATTAAACATCATGAAGAATCTTATAAAATTATTTATTATATTTATAGGTTAATGAAACATTTTTATTATCCAATTAATATTTTATATATTTTATCCATTAAAGGAACATATATACTTCAATTAAACTTCTTTTTCAGAAATCAAATTCTAAGAATTTTTTATGATTACAATTTCTAAGTTATCTACTCATTCTTGCAATACTTTGATAATTATAGGATTATAATTCTCTTTTAAATATTTTTAAAGTTAATAGCTCCTTATAATAGCTTTTAAATTATATTTAATTGCTATTATATATAGTTTTTTTATGATGTTCTATTATGATTTTTTTGTTAATATTTTAAACTGTGATTCTAAATGTAAAAATTCTACATGAAGTATTTCTATATGATGTTTATCCTTCTAAGAAGTTCAATATATATTAATTTTTCTGTATAACTAACTTAATCTTTATGATTGTGCAAATTAAAAATTAAAAATTTTTTTCATGTAAATAAAGTCTAAGTTTAGATTCTTTGATATAGCTGCTAATCTTACAGATGATTAATTTTATGGAATTTATCATCATAAGAAATATCATTAACCTGATTATAAAGATGTAATGAAAAGAGCATCTGATATTGGTTGTGAACATTTATTGATTGCAAGTGGATGTTTGGGTGATTTGATAAAGGCAAGAGAATTATGTCAATTGAGTCCACATTATTATACTACAGCAGGTATACATCCTTGTCGTGCAGCTGAACTTAATAAAAATTATTAAGGATATATGGGTGATTTGATAGATCAATTAGAATTGGCACTTAAAGAAAAGAAATTAGTAGCCATTGGTGAATGTGGATTAGATTATGATAGGTTGGAATGGTCAACTAAGGAAGAATAAATGATTGCTTTTGATCCACATTTTGATTTAGCTGAAAAATATAAATTACCTATGTATCTACATAATAGAAATACAGGAGATGATTTTTATAACATAATGTAGAAGAATAGACATAGAATTGTTGGAGGAGTTGTGCATTCATTTACTGGATCTTTAGATGAGTTATAAAAGATCTTAAATTTGGATCTCTATGTTGGAATTAATGGTTGTTCTTTAAAATCTTAAGATAATATTAATGTTGCTAAACAAATTCCTTTAGATAAATTAATGTTAGAAACAGATTCACCATATTGTGAAATTAGAAATACTCATACTTCTAGCAAATTAGTAAAAACATAATTCTAAGCTTAAAAACATGAAAAGTGGAAAGAAGGATAATTAATTAAAAGTAGAAATGAACCTTGTAAGATAATCTAAGTACTTGAAGTGATGTCAGAATTATTAAAAATTGATTAGGAGAAATTGTCAGAAATTTGCTTTTAAAATTCTTTAAAATGTTTTGGTTTAGTATGATATTAATATATATAAATTATGTAATTTATATAAAAATAACATATTCCTAAAGCTCTCAGTCTTATTTAAGCTGTAGAATTCCTTGCAGAGTATTTAGGTAAATCATCAGAAAGTATTCATTTATTACTAATAAAGAGCGAATATATCAATATTTCTTATTCTTAGAATTATTGAAATTATTTGTAAAATTAAGAAAATGGCAATTAGTTGATAAGTGTGGATTAATGATTTCAGAAAATAACAACTATTCTGAAACAGATAATTAGGAAGATGAAGCTGCCATATAATTCAAAGAAAATTTAGGTCCTTTAGAATATAATCCATAAGCAGTCAATGAAAAATCAATAAAAGATGAACTAAAATCAATTAAAGACCCTATTCCTAAATTTAATCTTGGATATTATGATGTAATTTAAGACAAATAAACTTCTCTATTAACAATGTTACCAATTCCAAACGATGTGAAATAGAAAGATTATGAATCCAAACTCAATTAAATAAGAGTATTTTGTAATTTGTTATAATTAGATTAAATTTGGAGAAATCTTCCATCTAATTCGTCCATTATTATATTGTGCATTGATTCTTAAATATGGAGGAGATAGCTATACTCCATATTTTATATCATTATGCATTGATATATTAAGATTTTTAATAGAATTCAAAATCAAAATCTATAGAAAAAGTTAGAAAGAAGAACTCAAAATTAGAGCAAAAGAAGCTATAGTATAACTTTATCAATAATTAAGATTTGTTATATATTAAGAAATCCATTCTATAGTACAATTGTGAAACAATTAATCTTAAGTAATACTTTAGGGAAGATATTAAATTAATAAGGATGGATTTATCGTCTTATAATTGCATTAATTGAATTAAGATCATCAAAATGTCTTTTATTGTGAAGTTATTATTGTTTTATAATAAATTATATCAAATATAAACTTCTATCAGAAACTTCATTATATATATATATATATAAATAAATGAGTTTTATATCTGTATAGGTATGTTATTTTATGGGATATTAATTTGTTTCATTTAGATTAAGTAAATTATAAATTATGCATAAATTGAGATAATTACAAGAGAAGGATTAAAGATTTTCTCCTGTTGAATAGGATTTCATTCCCTTTATCAAAGAACGAGATAACATGGGTAAATTACCTAATTCCTATCGAAGTTTAAGATCTAAAAACTTAATTGATACTAGGATTAGGGATACAATTAGTAGTAATAAAAGTCAAAAAAGTAAAACCAAAATAAACTTCCTCAAAGATGTTTATACTATCAATCATAATACATATTGGGCTAATCTAACAAATGTTTCGAAAGTTGAAAAGAAATTCAACTTAAAAATTAAGACAGAATATGTTGAGTAGAAGTAATTAATTTCTCTAAATCAAAAATTATAATTGAATGCTGGCATTGTTTAACATAGAACTTAGACACAAATATATGATTCTCCTAAATTAGGTAGAAATCTAAGTATGAATACAATACCTCCTCTTGGGTATTACTAAACTTAAGATATTAATATCAAAAAATAACCTATGTTTGTCAAAATGAAATTATAAAATGACTCTAAACTTAAAGAATGTAAAATAATTAAAACAGAACCTTGCCAACAAATTTAAGTGCCTAAATTAGAACTATCGAATTTAAGAATTTAAAATAAAATTCCATAAGAATTATTAAACAAAGCATATTAAACAGAAAGGCTATCAACAGAATATAAATTTAGATACACTCCTTTGCATTTCGATAATGAAGTAATAGAATAATAAGAGAATAAAATTAAATAATTAAGATAATAATATAAAGTTATTAAAAGCACTTAAATTTGACTTTTATTTATTGTAAATATAATTGATTTGATCATTCTTTAAGCCATTTACCAATAAATTATTCTAATAATTTAAAAGTAAGGAATGAGGATTCCTTAAATTTCTCAAAGAATCCAACACAATCGTACCAATCATCTAATGTTGATGTTTATGCTCCACAAATGAAAAAGCTCTTAGTACCTTTTTTAAGGAACAAATTTTTGAGGTTTCTAAGATATTAAATATAAAATTAATTTACTTAAGGTGTTTTTTATATAAGATATCACTTCCTGTTGAATAACTGTATATATATTTCTTTAATAATTCATCATCATGTGCTAATCTATAGGGGAGAGATGAAACATGAACTAAGGATGCACTTTCTAATCCATAATATTCTAAGAAATTATATGCTACTTCCCAATTCAAGATAGCATTTTATCCATCTTTATTTGCTTTAGCTAAATCTAATCTGTATTAAACATAATCTTTAACTGAATTATTTTTGCCATTAAATTAAAAGACTCTAAATGATGGATTTTAATATGAAAATGTAGTTCCAGAAGGTGCAATAAATAAAGTTTTAACATATCTTCCATCAATTTTAGATCTAATATGTTAGACATGATCTTAATGAGTATGTCCTTAATTTATACTTAATATTAATAATACCATAAAAGATTCCAGTAACTACATGTTCAAATCTCTCTATTACAACACTAAATCTATCAGCCCATTAAGAATTACAAAAAGTATCACCAGGTGGAATATGAGCATATATTACAGCAAATTAATGTTTATCTTCTGAATCTTTGAGTTCAGATATTAACCATTTAAGCATTCCTCTAGGATCTGTAATACCATCCATTAAATGAAAATTAAGTAAATCACATGCTTAAGAATTTAATGCAATGAATTTGAGATTTCTAGATTTCTCCACTTAAGAATAATAACCATTTCTTCTTAATTAATAATATGATTCTTATGTTAAATATTATTTCCACATATCAGCCACTTCATCTCTTAACCATTATGTAGATTCACCTATCATATCATATTGATCAGCTGGATAACCTTCATGATTTCCATATATTGCATATAATTAAGAATTTGGTATTTATTTTTTAATTTCATCTGTAATCATTTTAGTAGGTAATGTTTGATTCCACTTTTATTAATGCCATACATCATGTGATGTACTATCTCCAGTCCATATAATAAAATCTGGCTTAATTTTTTCACCTGTAAATTTGATCAGATCTTATATTGTTCTAAATGGTAAATCACAATCTGCATAAGTTCCCCAATATTAAGCTCCTTTACTTGGATCTTTAGGTTTTCCATTTTCTTCTCTACAACAAAATGGAGCTCCACAAAAAGCATTAGCTCCAACTGAATATTCTACATCAATATGTAAATCTGCAAATTATGCAACTGTAAAATCTTCTTGATTTTATATATTTTCTTCAGCTATCACTTACCATTACCTTTGTTCTTCTTTTGAAAGCTTATCTTACATAACTTCATTAATATATTCTTTAATTGTTTATCTTTCATGCTACAATTTACATACTCCTAAATTCTAACATGCATTTGAAGGTGCTAAATAATTACTATATTATATAAATTAACAAAAATACTTCAAAAAATGAACAGAGAATTAATCTATAAATGTCTAATTGATTCCTTCACAAAAGGCTGGATCTTTAAATTTGGGACAAAGGAATGTCCATTCTTTTCTAATTATTGATAAGAGAATTGTTGATGAAAACTTTTGAACTTACTTCATCATTAATTTACATGGCAAACAAAGTAAGTGTAATCTATGTATTAAATTATATATTTATACTCATGAGGCATTTCTATACCAGCATATTCAACTATCTTAGTTAATATTTCTCTTTTCATTAGTTCTTCTCCCATATCTATTGTATTTGCTACACAAAACAAAAGTGCTAAGATCACTAATACATTTCTCATATTTTATAAATGATTTGAAAAATTACGTAATATATTTAAGTAATTAATTTATTCATTATTGATTTCAATTTTTTTTCTCAAATTATGATATACATATTGCAAATCCTTATAAAATAGATAAAGGATGACAGATATCAACTGAATAAGTCTTTTTTGCACATTTTCCAAATTATAATACAAATTTATTTTTATCTGTACAACTGATATCATAAATTATACAATTCTTTACTGATGGCATAGTTACTCTATCATTAAATTATAATTGATATTTCATCTTCACCTTATTATAAATTGGATTCTTATTCATAAAATGCATAATTTAATCCTTATATTACAATGAATAATAGGCTTTCAATAATCCATCTGTATCATTTAATGGTTTAAATTCACAAACTTATCCATCTTTAATCTTAGGTATTATTACACTCTATCTAATTTGTCCAGTCTATTTTGAATTTTAAAAATTTATTAAACATAATTCTTTTCTTACTTTATCCAAAAACTTTGCATCTTTAGGATTATCACCAGTATCAAATAATTTAAATACACCACCAGATCCTTTTATTTTTCCTAAACAAGACTTATGTTTTCTATCAAATTTATCTTAAAGTATAGATAAAACATAATGAATTTGTTAACTGAAAGCCTATCGTTTTGCTGAACATAGAAATATTTTCTATTAACCACTCAAATACAATAGAAATTTAGGATGAAATTTGTTTGTGCCACTTTTATCTTTAACTAATGTCAATTATATCAAATGTTCTAATAAAATATTCGAATTATCTATTTACATTGATCGATTGGCTTTTATAAGAACTCTTTCATATCATAAATTATATCAGGTTAATATATAATTTAATTTTATTATTCTTATCTCTCAGTCATTGCATCAATTTAATTTGTTTATTAAACTTATTCATTTTAATCATTTTGTTTATTCTCATCCTTCCAACTCTAAAAGTCTTCATCACTATGCATACTACCAAAATTTGCTATATTATCTTATTCATCATCCTGTTTAAATTAAATTATATCCTAAATCACTTATTCTTCATTTCTTTATTATTGCTAGACTTAAAATTAATCTTCAAAATTTTATTGTATTTATTATTATTTGTTGTTATCGAAAGGTATAATGATTTCTTATTCATCCTCATCAAACTAATCAAAGTTTATTATTTCACCGTTACCATCATCATTTTAAGACAAGATTTCATAATCATTCTATTCTTATTTGCTTTACATTATTTAATAAATATAAGTTGTATAATTATATTTTACTAACTTTTAAATTTCATTATTTTATTTAGATATTATCATAAATAATTGTATCTAATAACATTTCTAGAATATCCCAAAGGTTTTAAAGTTCAAATAATCTAATTTTATATAATCAATATTCTAACTTACAACTGCAAATTAATAATCTAAAAACTCATTTATTTTCCTTTTGGCTTATCTTCTAGTGCCTAGTATTCCTATAGTTTAACATATAGATACCAAAATATTTCCTAATAAAGATTTAAATATTTTTAATATTCTTTTTTGTAATTTTAATTGAATCACTTATTTAATTTTTATTTTTTTCTATTTTCTTTTCTATATATCTTTATTTTTATTTAATTGCTGAGATGTTTAATAAAGTGATATTAATAATTAATTTTTAGATAATAAATCATTTTCAAATCATCTAAATCAATATAATATAGAATGCTTATTATTCATTTAAATTTCATTCAAGTATATAATTTAAGTGATTAAAATGAATAATTCTAGTTCTTCTAGAATTTAATGATTAAATTAATAAACTATTTAACTAAAATCTTGATTTTATTATAATATAATCTATAGTATTATATACTAATTTATTTAATATATATTTTATCATAATCTTATTGGATTAAAATAATAAATTATTTATTCATATTTTTTACTCAATTTCATTTAATAATTTTTATTTTTAATGTTTGTCTCTTGGTGATTATTTATATTTAAACAAATTCTATGAATTTTAATAAAGATTTTTTAAATTTTAATATTTAATAACAAGTAATTAATTCAGTTCGATGCTCATTACTATTTATGATAAAATTAATTAATTTATTCATGAGACAATCAATAATCCACTCCTTCATTTACTATTGAATTTTATAAAAATAAATAAATTTGAAACATAAATTACCTAATGACTTGAAAATAAATTTGAAACAATTGGTTATTTAATTAATATTGAATGAGATCCATTAATCAATTTAGTAAATAATTTTATAAAGGAATATATAAACCTGAATTTAAATATACAGACAGTTAGCAATAAATTTAAAAATATATTCTCATTTAGTCTAAAAAATTGAAAATAATTATCTTTGATTTCTAAAATTAAAGTTGAATGAAATATCATTAATATGTAGAATTTTAATTTTGAAATCAATTTATATAGAATCTGTTAAATACTATCATATTAAGAATTATTAAATATTATTTATAAAATAGATTAGATTAATCAAAAAATAAAAAATTCTCATAACTCCTAACATTAATGGCTGAATTAAACATGGCATAAGATTAAGAAAGTATTTTCGAAATAGAAGAAGAATTTGATTATGAAAATTTAGAGATGCCATAATTAGTTAGAAGAAATGGAATCATTCATACTAATGAAGAAATTATTGGTTATTGTATTTTGGAAAAACCAGCTGATAAAATATTTGAAGAAGAACAATGCCCAATTTGTTTAGATTCATCGGAATAGTTGTATCCTTTAAAATGTGGTCATACTTATTGTTAAAATGATATAGAAAAGATGATAGAAATCTCGAAATCTTCCTATGGTTTACTCTAATGTCCCATATGTAGAGCATATTAAACTCTCGACTCATTTGATGAAGTTTAGAATATGAAACAATGTAAACTGGAGAATTGTCAACAAGTGTGTCATTGAATAAAAATTTAAATGTTTTACCTCTAATTAAATTTAACATATAAGAGTATTGATTTATAACTTATGATATTCTTTTATATTGTGGAATATTAAATCATATTTGGTAATGTAGAACTCAGAAATACAAATTCTTTATAAATTGTAATTTTGATTCCAATACATTATTATTCTTATTGTTAAGTTTTTATTTCTAATTTCTCAAATCTAGATAATTTAAAACGTAATCAAAAACAAAAAAATATTTATTATTAATAATTGAATAATGTAATTAAATTAACAATCTCATTAAGAATAACAATCTAATGCAGCAGAACAATGTGAATATTGTTAAGTGTATGTGCTAACAATGTAAAGATAATTACATTAATAAAAATGTTTGGCAAAAAACTAATATTAATCTTAAAATACTCCATCCATTCCTAATTTTCCTCGAAATTAGATTGTAATAAATTAATTAATATAGAATGATAACATACAAAACAATTAGCAACAAAAATTCTTTAATTAAACTAAATTTAATAATGAATAAGTAGGTAATTAAGAATAGAATTTTTAATAGAATAACAATTTTCAACCAGATAAATAACAATAATAAAAAGCACATTATAGACCTATTCTATTAACTGAACAACCTACGATAAATAAAAATAATAATTAAGGAGTTTTTAATTAAGGTTTCCAATAAAATATATAATAATAATAACAAAATGGTTTATAGAAATTTTTATCAAATGATCCAAGAAATTAACCATTTTAATAATAATAAACCATTAACAATCCCAAATATATACAAAGACAAAATCAATTTGAAGGTGTACAATCATAATAATAACTACAAAATGATGAAGAATTGTAAACTTTTTAATATTAACAAAGACCTTCACTATTTTAAAAGAATAATGCTTAAACAATTTAATAGTAATATTTTTTTAATTAATATAATTAATCATCTAATTAAAAAGAATAATTTTGATATCAGACAAATTAGACAAAATATATTTGAGATATTTATATAATTTATAGGCATTTTAAAAAAGAAAATATAATAATAATTTATTTTTGAATTTTCATGTAATAAGTGGCTCCAGAAATACAAACTACTTTTGATGAATTGCTTAAACCAGTTTTAGAGAGAATTTAATTTTTAAAAGAAAGAGATCAATCAAATGAGTTACAAATCAAAAATTTATTTGACTAAATGAGTGAAATAAAAACATTAATAGGAAATCTAAAACCTATAAAATTGGATGATGAGAAGAGTAATAAAAAATAATATTTAATAGAAATTGTCAAATAAGTTCTTAAAAAGTAAAATCATTAAAATAATGGTATTTTGAAATTAATAAATTCCCACCATATGATTAGATGTTAAAAAGATTGAGCGTCCATCTACTGCAGTAGTTACAAAAAACTCAGTTCCTGTAAAAGTAAAGGATCCTAAACTTAATACAGCTCCAAAACCTTTAAGTCAGAGCACAATTATAGAAAAGACAACAACACCTGTTGAAATTGAAAAAAGTATTTAATACATAAATTCACTTTTTATTAGACTAACCAAAATCTCCAAAAGAAGGAAATCAAAATAAATCTAAATAATAATAGCCACCTTAACCTAAACAAAAACCTATTGTTCAATCATAATAGAAATAATAATAATAAATCAAAGAAACTAAAGAATAAACTATTAAATAGACACCCTAAACAAAAGATGAAAAAAAAGTTGAAAAATAGCTACAAAAATCAAAAACTACTTAACCAAACTCTTAACCTATATAAACAGAGAAAAAAGAAGATAAAAAAGATAAAAAGACAGATAATAAAACTACTTAAAAATAGAATACAAAATAACCTGATTAGAAAGTAACAGACAAAAAAACTGATGATAAAACGATTATAAAGAAAGGAAAATTACCTGAAGAAACCTAAAATAAAAATGAATAATAAACTGATGAATAATTTTAATAATAATAATAAAATACACCTAAGACTTAAGATAATAGTGAATAGAATTAATAAGAGAATTAATAATAGTAATAAACAGTTGAATAAAAAGAAATTTAAGAAACTTAGACAGAAGTTCCTGTTATTTAGAATATTGAAGTCTAAGAGTAATCAGTGAAATAATTATCAGAGAATTAAGATTTATAGACATAAAACCAGCAAGTTTAAGAAGTCAATGAAATTTTACCAGAAAAACTTGAAAATCAATAATTAGAAGTAATTTGATGTTATATGAATATATGCATAAATATTTTAATAAATTTATTCTAATTCAATAATATATAAAATTCTTTCTTAATTTTTTAATAAATTTATTATGAATCATCATCTTTTTATTCTTGTTATATATGATAAACCAAAATTTTTAAATAAATCATCAGTATTTAAAAATTATGGTTGATTAGTTTTAAAAAATGTTTATACCGTTTCAAAAATATTTCTAGCATGCTAAACATATGTTTAGTTATTTTAAGAATGAGTTTAGTTTTATTATAGTGGTTCTTACTAATATACTTACTATTACTATATTTCTTATTAAGTTTCTATTTATTGATTTTATTGAGTTTCTATGCATCTACATTCCATTCCTTTTACCCATTATTTACCACATTCATAACAAAATTCATGTCCACAAGGACAAGATATATGATTGCATCCATATGTTTTCTCTATCCATCTATTGCAAAGAGAACATTACTTATATTATTATCTTCTAGCTAAATCAACAAAACTTTATTCACCACAAATTCCTTCATGAAATAATTTTTTGCATTTTGTACAAAATATTTATTAACATATCATACATACTTAAATAGGTCCTTCTATTTCATAAATACCTGAACAATTTTGAGTTGGACATTAAAAAATGTTAGGATGTGACATTAAATATTAATTAAAAGCAAATTTATCCAATTTATCCATAACTTACTTAGATGTAATTTATTCTAAATCCTCTCTTAATATTTCTTATCTGCATTATAAATTTGGACATCTAATTGGTAGATCAACTTATGCTTCTATTAAATTATTTAAACAGTTTTTATGATAAATATGCTAACAAGCAGTTAGAAGATATCGATTTGATTATATATTCTCTAAACAAATGATACATTTTGTTTTCCCTATTATTTAGCTTCTCTAATTACTCTATTAAAAACAATTAGATTTAAATTATTCTTATCTTCTATACTCCTCATATTATTTTTTCATAATTTATTTTGATTATTCCACTGAAAATTATTTAATCTCCTTTATTTAAGGAATAGGAATCTCCAATATTTTTTAGTTATTCTAATCAATTTTATTTTTATTCTATTTCTAATCTTATATTTAAGGATCTATTGACTGCTTACATTAATCATTTAATTAAATGTTTGATATTTCTGTTATGATGATTCTTTATTTATTCTCTTTTTTATTATGTTCTTATTTTATTTTGATATTTTATTCATCTTTTTCTATTATTTTATCATTTTCCTCTATATATGAACTCTAAAATTACAAAAACCCTGAATTGAATTATATAGCTACATCAGGAACTTCCTGATCAATATTTTTATTTCCATTAATAAAACTATCATATAATTATTCTAATTCTTCAATATTCATTTTTTGATAATAGTATGCTTAATGATTATAATTAATAAAGTAAAATGATTTTTTCAAAATTTTAGAATTATTATTTGAAGCTCCTGCTTAATAAGATAAAAATACCACATCAAGAAATAATGATTTTTCCTAATTATTTTATAAATTTTTACATCAGCATAAGGCAGTTCTCTTATTTATGTTATATATTTTCCAAAATCAAAAACACTTTTCATTTTTTTTAAATATATATATATATATATAAATAATTAATCAACAAATGATATTATTTGCTTACAATTTAAATAAAGATTTGCCAACTTATATTTCGAGTTCTTGATAAATTTACAAATCTTCTTTGATTTAGACTAATGTCCCAAATTTAGAATTATTATCAAACAAAAATAGAGAATCCTATTATTAAACTTTCTCTATTTATAAAGTTGCATGAAATCTACTAACACTAGCTTCGCACAATTTAACCCAATTTTCTTTAGCTCTTCCTAAACTCATCCTTTCTCCTAAACTAATAACAATTACACCATCTGATTTTGATGTGAAACGATCTCCTAAATTAATTTACTAAACTTAAGTTTCCTTCTTTTTTGAATAAAATTCTAACATAACAAATGGATATCTAGGTTTTAAAAGGTCTAGCATATGATATGTTACTCCATCACTTTAAAATATTACCTTATATGGTTCTTAACAGATTTCACATTTTAATAATTTCCATAGATATGTTTCACTTTTCTCAGATGATCTAGATGATGATGTAAGTTCTTTGAGCCTAAGTCTTATTCAAGTATACCATCTTTTCATGCATTCTAAATGAATATACTTTAAAGATCCACTACATTTGCATGGATTCAATAAAGGATTAGAACTTTATGCATTTCCTAGACATATTCGACATTATTCATTAGAATCTGCTTTACTACGGTTAGAAAATTCATGTTCATTTTGTGTAGTAAAACTAAGACTAGAAATTCTAAAAGTCATTTTTCCAAGCCTAAAAATGTCATTTACATTTAATGGATATTTATTAACAGATCTTACTGTTAACCAATTTTTTTTTAGTTTGAATGGAAATTTAGTATTTGTCAAGGCTGTTGAATTTCCTTATTGTTACTATGTTCCAGCAACAACAGTATTTTTAGCTGTTATATACAATATAACTTCACTACATATAAATGATCATTAGTACCTATTCTCCTTAGGTATTTCATTTATTAATTAAAGTGTCTCTTTATCACTAATTATGTATGAATCTTAATTTTGGATTGTAAATTATTATTTTTCATTGTTAATACTTTCATAATCAAAGAGATCACTAGACTCATTATTCCAAGTATAACAACGTATTAATATCCTGAAATCAATCATATCAACTACCTTTCATTACGCATTTAACATTAACCCATATATTATTTTATATTTTTAATATAAATCAAAATCATAATCGATAATCTCTATCTTTTCAACTACTTATTCTACTAATTTAACTAATAATTCTTAATTTCTTTATCATTCAGTCCTATTTCTTTATAAATACATCATACCCAATTTAATATATTTTTCTAGAATTCTAATTATTTCCTGTTCTCTTTATTCTTGTTATTATTATTAATCTTTGAATATTCTTTTTAATTCATCTAATTATTTATTAATCATTATGCAATTGTAATTTTAATTTCTTTTCTTATATAAAGATAGACTATAAAATACTCTATTTTATGTTTTCTAAACATTGTTTGCCTATACTAAATAAAAATATTTGCACTTCTTTTCAGAATTTCCTTTTTAATTTTCTTAATTAATTAATTTCTACCCTCTTTTTTGTTATCAGAAATATATTTCAATTCAAAATAAGGATAATCCATTTATTATTGATTCATAAATAAAATGATTAATGATTTGAATCCAATTATCAAAGCATTAGAAATATTAAATATAAAAATCGAACTTAAGCGTTTACATACAGAAACCAATTTCATCCTTTAATTATATAAAAAGGTTTCATATAATAAATATATACATATACTAAATCTAAATCATTCAATAAATATTATTGATTAAATATAATTTGCTAATAAATTAAATTTACAAAAAATTACCTTCTAAACATCATATTTTCAACCAATAATTTTTCTAAAAATTAATATCCTTTAATTGCCATTTATTTTTTAAATATCTCTATTAAAAAAAAATTAAAAATTTTACTCTACTCTTCATTTACATTCTTACATTACATTAATAATTGATAATGATGGGATGAATATAAAGGAGATATTTTATTTGATGAGGCAGCAAATTTAACTTCTTTAACATAATAATTTATTTAACTTATAAATGAATCCTAATGATGAACAGTAGAGATTATACTAAATGTTCTAATAAATGGCAGGACCTGATCCATATGGTAGAATGCTTTAAGTGCCAAATGCACCTTACTATCCTTGTTGGGGACCTCCTTTTCCTTAACCAATGATGGCACCACCTTCAAATTAAAAATATCAATTTCCTGAATAGTTCGTGCATGACTAGGCACTTTAAATGAATTCACTTCCACCTAATTAAAGTGGAATGAATATGAATGGTATTGCATAAGGTTTGCAAAACATGCCTCCCATGCCTATGGGTTTACCTCCAGGTTTTGGAATGCCTCCATTAGGGCCTGGGTAAATGCCATAAGGATCTATGGGATCTGGGCCTATGGGACCTTCACCAATGGGTGGAATGGGAGGAATGGGTGGAATGGGTGGAATGGGAGGAATGGGAGGAATGAGTGCTATGGGACCAGGTGGCATGTAATTACCTGGGATGGGTCCAATGCCTTAAGGACCTCTAGGTTAAATGCCTCCTCCATTTGAATTTTAATTCAAATAACAACCTCCTATGCAATAGCAGATGAATCAAAATTAATTAATGCCTCCATAATAGCAATCATTATAATAACAACACTAAGCTTAATAATAGCACTAACCATAATAGCAGCAGTTATAATAATAATAAGCTCCTTAATAATAATAATTATAACAATCTTAAGGATAATCAACCTAAAATAATAATAATGCAGCTCAATCTAATTTGGAATAAGGTAACTTATTAATTATATAAATAAATAGGATTTTCTCAGGTTGTAAATGAATTTTAGCTTAAAATCTTAAATATGTTTGTGATGTAAAATTAAATGCTATTGGATTTCAAGAATAAGAATGCAAATTTGGAAAATACTATTACATAGATATTAGATGAAATAACTAATCTATAAAAAATAGTTGAATAGAAATTTGATAATGGTTAAGCAGATGATTTTATGAGTAGATGTATTAAAAAAAAATATTTATTTTTAGAGTCAATACCAAATTAAGAAATGACATAAAACAATATTTTATTGAAGTCTTTATAATATAATTAAAGTGATTTCCAATATTAATTAGTGTTGACAAATGATTTAGAATAACCCTTATTTAAAGACAAGAACTTTAATTTAGATATTGCTCTCAAAGACATGAAAGGAATGAATATTAAGAATCATAATAAAATAGAATTAGAGGTTCAATTGTTTTCATCAGATGATAAGCCTGTTCTTTTGATTTAAAATTCTTAAAATTAATAAATTTTAAGATAACCTGAAGACAACATTTGGTTGGAAGAAGGTATATCAAATATAGAGAAACTATAAATAAATGAAGTAACATCACATTATTAGAACGGTTGGATATATCTAATTGTTTATCCAATTAAAAATGATACCAAGATTGCATAAGGAGAAATTAATCCAGCATCAATCAAACCATTGATATATAAGGTCAGTGTAAAATCAAAGAAAACTTAAAAAAAGTATATTAGATATTAAATTAGGTCGTCACGATCAAGATCAAGATCTCATGAAAGATTACGTAGACTTGAAAAATTGGATAATAAATCAAGTTCAGAATCTGATAATCACATATAATTGGAAATCAAGAATCTTGATGCTGAAGTTGAAATGTAATAGGAAGATGAGAATGAAAATAATGTATAATAGCAAGAACAATTAGAATAAGAATAATAAGAAGAATAATAAAAAGAATAATAAGAATAATAAGTATAATAAGAATAATAAGTATAATAATAATAAGAATATTAATAAACATTATTATAATAATAAGTATTAGAATAATAATAAGTATAATAAGTATAATAAGAATAATAATAAGAATAAGTATTATAATAATAATAAGTATTAGAATAAGTATAAATATAAGAATAATAATAAGTATAAGAATAAGAAAAATAAAAATAAGAATAATAAAAATAAGAATAATAAAAATAAGAATAATAATAAGATTAATAATAATAAGATTAATAATAATAAGAATAATAATAAAATGTAAGAGATGAGGAACATAAAACTAATGAATCTAATCTTTGAGATTTGTAATGTATTTGTGATACTTATTTATAAATAAATCATTTTAGTCTCCATGTTTCTTTAATTAAAGTTATAAAATTCTCATCTAATTCAATATCAGCACTAACTGCAGCATAGTATTCTTTCAATTCCTAACTTTTAAATTTATATTAGTACATCTAAAGTTATCTGGCCAGATTTATTTCCTTTCTTAAAATATTGCAATAATTCAATATAAGCTTAATCATCAGTCAGTTCTCCTCTTATAAGTTTTTGATGATTTTTTGCATTGAAAATTCCTTTGAAATCATCAGCCATAATATAACCTAAATTATCCTTATCAAATTTCTTGAATGCTTAGATTATTACTTACATTCGGTTCTAATTGGGTGTTCCCTATTCATCAATTTATTTTTTACCCTTTTTAAACAAAAAATTCAGCAATATCTATTGATCTATCTCTGTTTCTATCTAGATAATTTATAAAAACTATATGGAAAATAAACTATTTACGTCTGCTTAGAATTTTATTAAAACTATTCCATTTTACTTAAAACCAATTAGAAATTCATCTTTATCAATTTTATTATTATTATCAAAAGACTCAAATCCCCTGAAATTTTTACCTAAAGATAGTTGTTTAAGATTTTTCTTATAAGGATTTTGTAATCTTTTTAATAAATTAGTGTTAATCTGATAGTAATTGAAATTTGAACAAGATAAAGCTAATTTTAGCAAACTAGCAAAATTTAGAGAATTTCAAATCCTATTTTTTGAAGTCTTCAAATAATCTTCCTTTAATATATATATTGATATTAGAAAAAATAAATTATAAATGAAAATAATGTAAATATATTGATTAAAAATTTATTCATTTTATTTATTAATTTAACTAAATAATGTATGATTTTAAAGGAAGTATTATATCATGTTATTTTGATTATTTAATAGAATAGAATTAATTAAGTATATATGAAACAAAAAATAATAATAAAACAAATTCAAAATCAGTATTCAGTAGATTAAGTATACAATTATTCTAAGATATTAGAATATCCAATTGATCTTTGCGAATTTGTATGAGACCTAGTTGATTTTTAAGAATTGTTTTTAGATCCTAGTACTCTACGTTTGGTTTCACCTCTATTTAGTAGCTCCTCAAATTCCAATAGAATTTATTTATTTTCTTAATTTAATCCACATTTCATTAACTAATTATAAAATTAATATATACTTTTTAGATAATAACTTAGAAATACTCTTTGATTTATGGATTTTCTAATCTTTCTTGATAATATGGATAACATTCATAGAATTTTCTTGCTAAAGATTCCTTCATTTATAATTTAGACAAAGTATAAACTATATTATAAACTTCAAAATCGTTTATATTCTCTTTTAATCTTCTCAAAAGTTTTTCAACTAATTATTCATTCTATTTATCTAAGTATTTTAAAGTATTAATGAGAAATGATTTGTATTTTTCATGACTCTCCTCATTTGACATGCTAAAGATTATATCAGGTAAACTATTTAAGATTCTTCTTGAATCTTTTTTCTATAATTGAAAAAAGAATCTTTTTGCTGATTATTAAATATTTTCATCAGGATCAGTTAATAATAAAGCTATATCAGTAATTTCTCTTTTGATTTTAATCATATCATTTAATATTAAATGTGATAACATATTTAATGAAGTTTATTTAACTATAAAGTCTTAATTGCTTAATCCATCAAAGAGTTATCTACAATATGATGTAACTGTATTTGGCCATCTGTGTAATAAATCTCCAATTGCTACTATTAAATTATTCTTAAAGATTCCATCTGAATTAGAATTTTAAATTAATTTAAAAACCTTTTCTATATGTTCTTCACAAAATTATTCAGATAAACACATAAATTTGCACAGACAAAGACCTGCAGATTTATGTAGTATTGTCAATTATACATTATTTTCTTCTATTTCAGCTAATATCTCTAATATTATTGGAACATAATTTTAGTAAAATCCTTTTTAAATAACATCTTTTGATATTTATAAATAATACTATATTTGCATAAATTCTACAAATATACACTATTATATTCGTATTCTTCTTCACAACCACCCTAGATTTTATCTAATTCATTTTCTTTTGCTTCCTCAACATTTCTTAAATTTGTTAATTAATTTTCAATTTCATCAATATGAAGAATGATTGCCAAAGCAGATTAGCCAACAATAAATAATAATTAACTAAGTTATGTACATTAATTATTAAATACTAAGGTTGATTCCTCTTCTAGAAAGTCTTAAGTACTATTAATTTAATAATAATAATTTACTTTTTTTAAGGTGTCATTCCCATAGCAAATATTTTGAAACTAAACTTTTTAATTATGTAATCATAAATATTCTCTGGAACAGGCAAAAATTATATTAAATTTAAAACCTCTTAACAAGCAACAAACCATAAATTGTTAGGTGTTCCAAAATAAAAATATAAAATTAATGAGAATTATTAAAAATATTTTTTAACAATTGTTTTATCTTCTAAGTAATATATTAATTTTGCTAATTCAATAACAGTAATCCAATTAATTTCTTTTTTCTATCCTTCAATTATTTTGTTAATTTAATCTAATTTCATTTTAGTTAAAAGATTAGATTGTTAACCAAAAGTAATTCTAACAAGTTTAGAATATTAATTCAATTATTCATGTTAATTTGTAGAATAAGTTCTCATAAAATTTGTCCAAATTATTTCTATAGTTGATTCTGGTATCATTTTCTATTTGATCATATATCGAATAAGTTCTTCAAGATAGATTTACTCTTTTGATGATGAAATTTTCAATAAATGTATAAGATTATTAATTGGAATCTACTAATTATCATTTTCTATAAAGAGGATATAAAATTTTTTAGCTAATTTATTCACTATTTATGGATTATTAGAATGTATTAACATTTTCATGATTCCAACATCTGTATTTTCTATTTTTTATTTAAATAAAAAACTAATTAGAGAAATAGCTTTATAAATATCAGTGATGCATTTACTATTTAATAGTAATTCAATATTAGGCAATAATTTTTATAATAACTCCATAAATTCTTAATATTATATAAAAACTGATTGTAATTTTTTCTTTTCTCTTAAATTAGAGACAACTAGATTTTCTTCATCTTCCAATTCTTTGAATTCTGCTTCAGTTTATGCATTTGCTTTATCTTCTAATATTTAATCAATAGCTATTAAAGTTTTATGAATTTCATTTCCTAAAAATTCATTTTACTCTTTGATTTCAATAATTTTCATAAAATTTTACATTTATAACCCATCAACAAATAGGTTTTTCATATATCTAGTTAAATTCTATATATTTTGATATTTTACTTTGTAATTTATTTAATAAATGCCAAAGCAGCTTTTCTCACCATTGAAGAAACATCTTAAACTCTTGCAATAACTAATGGAAACATCATAAGTTAAACATTTGGAGGGATTAAATTTTATGAACAAACAACTCTTAACATCTTTAAAGTGTGAACTCTAGCATATGCATTTTTATCTATAATTCTAGATGTCAATTTTTAAATAAGAAATAATCTTTGATTTAATTAATTTTCTTTTATTTCTACATCTTATTCTTCTTTAGATGGATTTAAATGTTCAGTTAAAATATTTGTGATTATTGTATTAATTGCATTTCTAAGACAATAACTCTATTGATAAATTCATAAGTTACTTCACTATCGTAAAATTATATAAAAACAGGTAAATTTTAATTAAATAAATTTGGTTTTTAAGCACTTACTCTTTCAAGTACTTTTGATACTTATTTTAATGAATTACTTTCATTTTATAATATTTCTAAACTATTTTATGCTAAAATTGTAATGAATTAAGTTATAAAAGCAATATTTTCACAATATATTAGTAAATCTGAAATTTATTGATCACAATCTTCTGAATTGAATATTATTTATATTAATCTATTTTTAATATAATTATGAAGATTCTCTTTTCTAATTATTTTCTTAAATTAATTTTATAAATATTGTTTAACATCATTATCTTTTATTTTTGTTTTATAAAATTATAATATGGTTTCTATTCCCATTTAATTATGTTTATCATATAAACCAAATGATAATAATATTTCTTTTTATAATTAATATAAATGTTCTTTCCTATTTCTATTTTAATCATCTAAAGTTGCCTATAAAAATTTCATTTATAAAATCTCAAATTCTAAAACATCAAGTCTCTTTAGAATCTCTTTCTCTAAAAACTCCAAGATATCATCTTTTTACAACTATAAATCATAAAACTGATAAATACTTATTATACACCATAGTAAAGGATAGTAAAAGTTTCACTATCAAATTGTTTATTATGATTAAACTCTTCAATAGCTGATCTCATTTATCTAAGTATTAATCTACTATCCTTAGTTTTGAGTGAATTATAAAGATTATTATCAAACTATCATATTGTTTCATCATACTTAAATACTGGGATATTCACTTAGCTCGTTCATAAAACTTTTTAAATTCAAATAATTTATGCGGCAATTTATAATAAATATATATATAATAATATATCAACTTACATTATTATTTTCCCAATAAAATCCTGAATTTCTCTATTCTGTTTTCTATTGTGAAACCCAATAAAAATCAGCATTAGAATTTGGATATTACACTTCATCTGATTATTATTACAATAATGGATCTTTTAGATCTATTTTTATATCAAAATTTTCATCATTTTCATCAGTAGGATGTTAAATAGCCCATATTTCAATAATATTAATTTACAATTTCTTAACATAAGGTAATATTAAAGGTCCATTTTCATAAGAATCATCTTATTGAGTACAATATGAATTCTATAAATTTTTATCAATCCAAATTCTACATCCCTCACCATTTTTACCACCAAAACCAATACCTTTATTAGAATCTAAAAAACAATAATTTTATTCTCCTCTTTTTTTGGATCTATATATCTTAAAATAAGGATAGAGACTAAAAATGCAATCCTTTTTGGTTCCAAAATACTATTTTGTATCATACCATCTAAGATTTGTAAGAGCTCCAAATATTTATTATTTTATCTTCTATTCATATTTTTCTTCATGTTAAAAAAACATAATTGTAGGTAATTTACAATCTAAATATTAATAAAAATATTAATAGTACCTTTAAGTGATTAAACCATTTAATTAAAACCACCTTAATGAGCAACACTTGAATATAATAAAGTTAATTAATTGCAATCAGTAAGTACAGATTATGTACTTAATAATAATTAGAAAAACAATTCATCAGTTACAAAATATGATGGTGTATTAATAACTGGAATAGTATTCTAATTAGAAAAGTAATTATTTTAATTACATTAAATTATTTTCCCATAAATTTGGTTTAAAAATATTTTTTTATTAGATATTTTGCTCCTGGCATTTATTTAGAAATGAAATCCATCAATTATATCCAAGAGAATGAACCTGACTCATTTTCTAAATATAGAATTAAATAAATACTATATAGTTAATCTACTAATGATTTTATGTATTTCTCATTAGTTGGTGCATTCTTTTGGTTATTTTAATACATTTTAATAATATCCTAAAATTATAGAAGTATTTTGATATACTTTAATCACATTTAGAGTATCAAGATAGGTTAATTACAATTAAGCCAACTCTTCTTTTGATTTAACATATCTATAGTTTTGCAAAGTAATCAAAGACATCAATTCAAACCTTTCTAAATTCTTGAATGCTGGAACTGAGGTTTAAACATCCTTTACTAATAATTCCACTATAATGTAAGTAATATTTTAACATTACAGAATTCAAACAATGGTTCTTTCTTTACAAACCCATCATTTCCAGAATACAATTCCAGGAACTTAAATAGTTTAATTCCAAATGTAGGATTTTCTGAAAATATATCTTCAAAGGATCTCTAATTAAGTTATTTAATATCACGAGTTCTAATAATATTTATATTATTACTCACTACTTAATTCACAGTAATATTGAAATTATTAATTCAACTGAGTATATTCAGTTTAATCAAATGCTAAAATTACTGTATTCTTTCTTGAATCATAACAATTTCCCATCTATTGAATAATAAATATAAATTATTAAAATAAAACGATAAATAAATAAAATTTTCATTAATCTCATCATACTTGTATTCTAAACTAAATTCATGTAACCAGTTCTTCCTATAAAATTATCCCAATTATTATCGTTCTCTGTGGACATCGAATTCGCTTCGATTCGTGTTTATTCATAATATCATATATCTATTGTATATCCAAAGGAATTTTGTTAGATAATTAAATATTTTTATCTTCAAATAGAACAAAATCATTTGATATTTTAGATTATGAAACATATAATTTTAATATTATATATTATCTATTTTAACATCATTTTTAATATCATAAAATAAATTAGTTAATTATACAGTTATCAACAAATATCAAACTTAAAAATATTTAGTAAATGAGTTTTTTATATATTATATTAATATAAATTAGAAATAAAGATCAAAGTTAATCGTTTTCCCATCTTCTGGCAAATAAAATAGGATCATTATACTATTTTTGATTTTCTATTAATATTTCTGATATTATTTGGAACTCTTTTTGTAATTTAATTATATTGATTCTTTTCAAATAATGTAATAATAATTAAGAGAAACTGAGTGTAAATTCAGATAAATCTTTATTGAAAAATTACTCAAATTATTTATCAGGAGATATATAGAATACTGATTCAACTTTAGAATAAAAATTTAAGAAACTATCGATCCAACTTTTAATTATTTCTTATTTAATTGATGGACAATAATTGTAAATATAAGTAGCTTTAATTCCTATTAGTTTTCTAATTAAAAAATAGCATTTTTATTTATCTTCTGTATTAATGCAATCAAATTATTTAATAACATTATTTAAGTAATATAAAAATTTATAAGTAGGTCTTATTGTTGCAGATAATGATTCCACTTTATCATCTTAATAATTACAAGTAAAATCACTTGTGAATTTATCAGTTATTACATTTGAGATTTATTTTGTTTATGATGCATATTAATTCAATTATTAAGATGTATTTGTTTGAAAAAAATAATTTTTTTTATTATCTTAAGAATTTCTTAATAAACTAACACCAGAAGATTTAAAAGGTGGAGTGATAATATGTTATTATGATTGAACAATTCTAACAGGTGATTTCTTTTATTAGATAGAATTGTTGTTTTGAATAGAATATGATGGTTTTGATAAATTTTATTGAATATTTAATGTTTATTGTTTTTCTGATAAAATTTATTAACAATTTGAAAATTAATTATGTTTTATGGTGTCATTGGTAGTATTCTAATTACTATGTTAAATACATTCACTTTCTTCTCCAGAATGACCATTTTTAGTAATAGTATTTTATAAATTATTGAATTCATGTTATATAATAATAGGTTTATTGATAATCGGAGATATCTTTTCTTTTTCTTGATTTGAAATTTCTAATAATTCAAGAGATTTTTATGTTTTAAGTTTGGATTCAATAGATTAAAATTTGATAGGTGATTATTGAAACTCTTTTTGAATTTTATCTATTTTTTCTGTATAAGAAACTTTTATTACTTATTCTTGAAATAGATTCTAATTTGATGAGTTTTAATTAGTTAATTCATAAAGTTTTTCTTTAACATCTAAATTATCAGCAATTTAATTTATTTTTATAACTTTTTTTGTATCCAAATTCTATAAGACATTCAATTCTTATGACTTATACATTTATGGCTGGTTAAGTTAATTTTCAATTGGGTCTTCTGATTAAGTTTAAAATATTTAATTATTTGATATTTATTCATTTAATTATTATCTTGATTATTATAATTCTTGAGATATATTACTAGTTTTAATTGATCTACATGAAATGCTTTAATGTTAATGAGTTTATATTTTTTTAGATTGTATTGACATGTTTGCAATAACTTCATTTATTGAGATTCGTTTTTCTGGATCAAAATTAAGCATATTAAGCATTAATTCTTTAGTCTTAAGAGACGTTTCTGTGTCATTTTTTATTTTATTGATCAAAAATTAATGTTTCTTGTTTATATCATGTTCTTATTTATTAAACTAAGGTAATTCATGATATATCATTTAAAATAATACTATTCCTAAAGCCCATATATCTGATTTTTCTGAATATATATTATTTTACACTGTTTCAGGTGCCATATACATTGGAGTGCCTACATTGAATTTCTTTATGATGCTCTCGTATTAGTTCTCAATGACTGCAAAACCAAAATCAGCTAATTTATAGTAACCATTAGATTTCAATATATTGGCTGGCTTAATATCTCTATGTATTATTTCTAATAAATTTACCATAAAGGTGTTACTTTTATCATGTAATGCTTTAATTCCCTATGCAATTTATGAGAATACTTCTAAAGATTATGTTTCTGTGAATTTTGTTGATTCTAAAATTTCAGCCAAATCACCTTCATTACAATATTCACAAATCAAATATCTATTATTTTAGGTTTCAAATGTATCATAAATTTTCATTAAATTAAAATGATCAATCATGCTCAATACATGAATTTCATTTTTTAGTAAACTTTTAGAAATTGGAGTGATTAATTATTGAAAACTTATAACCTTAATTGCTACAACTGTATTGTTTTTTGTATTCATTCCTTTATAAACTTTTGATGAGTAGCCAGAACCAATTAAATCATTTTAGTCATAAGTATAATTAGAAATAGTTTTCCGGATTTTTGAAGGATTATTATTCATTTATTTTAAATAACAAATATATTTAGACTTTTAAATACATTTTGAAATCAATAACAAGATTCCAAAGACCAAGGAAAATTTCATTTCATAACAATTAATTTGAAATATATATGGAATTATAATATTATTAGATATTTTATGTTAAATCCTTTCTTTTTATTCACATATACATCATTCTTGATTTTAAACTATCTTTAAGTTTTTCATTATCCTCTGGAATAGGAAGTTTCACAGAAGGAGGATATTGGTATTTTATAAATAATCATATTTTTAATCACTACCTTTAGATAATTAATAAGATTCTTTTTTTTCTTTATTACTTAATCTAATCATAATACTATTTTTGTTTATTGGAATCTAAGGAAGAGCTAGACATATTGACCTAATGGCCTTTCTAAAGAACTTGATTATCCTTTATGTGAATGAAGTTCTTTGACTTACTTAACTTAAATTATTAACCTTTACTATTATAAAATTCATACTTTCCATCTTGAGATAGATACGACTATTAAGTTTAATTAATTTGGATTATGATTAGAAGGATAAACAGATCTATACATTTGCTATTAAGGAATTAAATTTTATAGACTCTCTTGCCATTAACTTATGCTTATTTGTTCGGTGGCAGTTACTTAATTTTGTACCAAAGCCTTATCCCAATACATTAGATTGAGTACTCTTAATAATAATTCCTTATTTAAAATAGTATTGTTTAGTACTTAAATATAATATCTACGTTTCTTTACTTATTTATATTTAAATAATGTCTTTGAAATTATTCTATTAGTTTGGTCAGTTTTAACAATGATATATTTGCTTATTAGAAAATCAGATAAACCTAAAATGCTAAAAGATATTGAAGTAATGTAAAAACAATAATAAAAGTGAAATTAATTTTTTTTACTTTTATTTATTTCCAAAAACATTAAAATAATTAATTTTTAGAATTGAAAATAAATATGCTGACAAAATTATAGATAATCATTTATTCAATGATTTTGTTGATATTTTAAAATTAATAGAATTTGTATTTTTTATTTTTTAAACAAGATGATTGATTGATTTAATAATTTATTACTTTTAACAAGTACTCTTTGTAAAAGTGCATTATATAAATAAATTAATTAAAATTCCCATAATATAATTCGAGTAGATATATTAAACAATAATGAATTAATAGATTTATATAATAGTATGATTTCATTTAAATATAGCTTGAATGTATGCTGAATTACTTTTTCGAATATTAAATTCATTTAATTATTGTTTTATTTATTATAATTATTTTGCTTAAATCTGTTACTTTTTATAGATTTAAGTTTGACAATTTGCAGAATTCTTATTACCACTTCTACATTTAAGTAATTACACTAAATCTGATGTTTAGTAAGAAGTGAGTGTTTTTTATCTTAAATTAGACTAATAGGAATCATTATTTTTTTTCAGAATTTTCAATGCATTTATAAATGACTCTAATCTTAGATATATATTACTTGATTTATCTAATTATTTTGGATTTAGTTTAGGCTAATGAATGATATTTTAAATGAAAAAACTTGATGTATGAAATGACTCTTATCTTTTGAGAGATGAAATATTTTGTTGTACTTTCTAGATACAAGATTGAAATTGTTAATCTAAACATCTCCGAACACATTAAGCATTTGAATTTTGTGTATTTATGATTGGATTCACAATTTCGATATGATCAAAAAAGCTATCCTCCATTTTGAAAAAAAAATTAATTATTTAACAAAATTTATAATTTATTTAAGAAATGGATAAGTATTCCTATCTTGACTTTATTATGATTAAGTAGAAAATAAAAATAATATCATATTGCTTTAATAGTAATATCAAAGTCATTTTAGACTATTAAATTAATCTAATATCTTACATTTCTAATTAGTTTAATAATATTATTTATATAATTTGATATAAAGTGAAAAAGAAGAGAGTTATATTCAATTATTTATAAATTACTTTTATATCTCTATTCTTTTTGTTACAAAACTTATATTTCTTAAAAATAATATCATTTAATCAGCAATACCATCTTCCTTATCTAAATTGAGATGGTCCTTATTGCATTTAAGAATAAGGATATCTGGGATCAACTTAAAAATCATCAAATCTATGATCATAAAGTGGAGGTGGAAACTATCTGAAATTGTATATAATTTATTATACGCATTGTATTAAGGCATAGTCTAACCACTTGGTTATGGTTTAAATTAGGCAGGTTGCTGTGTTTAGTTGAATGAATAAATCAAGACATGCCAACCATTTAACTTATAATTTCAACGGTTATTACTTTGAATTCAAAAACTTTGTCATCATTATTATAATAACTGTATTATGCATTCAATCCATTTTTATGTTCCCACATAAATACAAACCAATAAGGTCCATATTTGCCATCTAATCTATGCTTTACAAAATCTGCTGGATTTTTATATTCTTATTAAGTTCTGCAAGATTTATAAAATTCTAGAATGTCAATTCTCAAAGCTTCATGAATACCATATCCTTATTTAATTATCTACTAAATTTTATTTATTACTTCTAAATTATCATCCTCATCAAAACTTTTAGCCTTTTTTATTTTAGGTGGTGGAGCTTAATATTCTTCTTAATAATATTGTTTATTTTGATTCATTAATAAATTAAATAATATAAAATAACAAATAACTTATATCTATTAATTAAGTATATAATCTATATTATAAAAATAAGGAAGTATAAATTAATAATCTTGAAAGAACCAGAAATCTCATCTTAAATTATATCATAAGATTATAATAAATTTCTTGAATTATTTATTAAGAATATATTTACAATTTCTAAACTTGTTACTTCTAGATTAGGTAATAAATTAATAAAAACAATTAAGTAAATCAAGTAATTTTAAAATATATCTTAAAATTAAATTATAAAATATAATTTTTTATAGATTAAATTTTTTATAAATAGACTTCTCTCTTGATTGATTTATATAATTAGTATGTTATATATTAATATAATTAATAAATTTATTATTATCATAAACCTCACTTTTTATTATATTCTATAGGCAATTTTTCAAATTGTAAAACAATCTAATATATAGATTAATTAATATTACATCCATTTAATCTTAATTAAGGAATTTATCTAAGGCCTTTTGATAATTAGAATCATTTGGTACTTTGAATAATATATTAACCATAATTGTATCTACTATTTTAATAGCATTTAACAAATGTGGATTGGCATCTTTTGAATAATTAGCTTAATAATGTAACCAATCTTAATAAGGATGAAACAAAGCAACAATAATAGCAATAGAAACATATTCAAATGAATTTTATTAAGTTGACATAAGATGTGAGTATTAAGATACATTACAATATATGATTGCTGTCATCATAATAGGAATTAATTTTAGATTGTGTTCATATGTACTTGCACCAGCATCAACTGATAAATCATCTTATTAAGCCATTCTAAATATTAATCCTTTTAGATCATTCAAAAGTAACCAACATTTTGAAGTAATTTTATTTTTTAATATTTTTTCACATCTTTTGAAATAAATATCTAATGTTTATTCATAATTATTTCCATTTTTTAATGGTAAAAAATTATTACATTTACAACCATTATTCTTAATAGCACATTCCCAAAATATTTCATCATGTGATTTTGGTTATTCATCTTTTTAAGATTTTATTGCACAATCAACACTTGCTTTTTAACAAGATGAATGAATAACAGTAAAATAAGTAACACTTTATAAACCATAGGTTTCTTATTTTTACATAGATAAAAATGCTTTTTCTTCTGGAATTTGATATGGTAGAGAAAATACATAAATTCCTAATTGATTTGAACTTAATGAATAACCTTCTTTACATGCTACACATTATAATCCTTTCTCTATTTATAGAGATTATATTTTTTGATTATATGTTGATTTTTGAAATTTTTTCAATATTTATTATTTTTTATTTTTATAACTTTATTCAAATTTCTATTCTTTTTCCATTGTTAATTTATTTATTGTATTTTTTAATTCTTCAATTATATATTATCCATCATCATTTTTTATGAAATTTATACAGTCATTACATACTTTTGATAATTCTTTCATAACTTAATTATGATTATTTGAATGTTAAAATATTTGTTATATGAATCCAATTTCATTTAATAACAATTAACATTCTCTAGATCCAATAGCAACAGAAAATACAATTTTCAAACAACTAGCATTAGTTTCACTCCAAACTTCAAGTGATTAATTCTATAAATAAGATTCTATTGCCATTTAATAGATACCACTTTCTAATGTTGCTTCTCTTAATTTTTGATAATGAGTTGGAGTGGCATGTAATATTGATCCAAAAAATGCTAATTATTGATTGTTCCATTCAAATTTAATGTTTTTTTTAAAATGTTCAATTAATGCTTATATTGGATCTTATAAATCTCTAATAATTAATGGAATTATTTATATTAATGTCTTTGATATTCTCTATGTTGGATTAGATTCTAAATGATTAATAACTTAATAAAGAAGTGTAACACTTTCTTTATCATGGAATTTTAATTCAAATGGATCAATATTTTCACTGAATCTTCTTTTAGTTTAAGTTGTTTATGTTAAGAGATCATCTATAAAATCTAATAATTTTTCATTTTCATTAGGTTCTTATAAGTAGATCTTTATCAAAACAACAATACCTTAACAATTAATAATTTAATGTTTTATTTAATTTGATGAATTACATAAGAATCTCATAATTCCTACTATCTTTTAAACTGTACTCATAAATCTCTTACCTTCTTATATAAGATTATTAATTAATGTAAATAAGATTTTTAAATGTTAAGGTTCAATAACACTTGATATTTATTTCTCTAAATATGATTTTTTATCATCCACTAAACTTGGTATATAAGGTAAATCATCATGATTACCAACACCTTAAATTGAATAATTTATTTCCATTTATATTTTCTATTAAATAAGTTCTTTAATCTTTTATTTTTCTTTCTGATTTTAAGGATCCTATTATGTATTATTCATTGATAATATCTTTTATCCATTTTTAAATTGTTTAGCCTTTTCAGGTATATAAAATTATTTATAAACTAATTCTAAATCTAGACTAGTATCATTTACAATCCTTTCTTAAATGATTAAATCAAATTGAGGTTCTAAACCTAAATCTTTTTATGCCATTTCTTTCAATTATTCTAATCTATTAAATAATATTAAAAAATTAAATACGTTTCAAAATTAAGTGATGAATATTCAACTTCTTTTTAATAAAATTATTAATTTGTTTTGTATGGCCATATTCTAATTCTAAATTCTAATTTCTTAAATAAAAGATTATGTATCATTTATGAAAGTCTTTGAATTTATTGATTTTATTAATTTTCATTTAATAATTAAAGAATAAAGTATTTAAGAATTTCAAAATTATCATTAATTTACATATTCTAATATAAATGATTATATATCTATAAATAATATAATAAATTTACTTGATTAATTCTAGCGTTATTTTAACCTATATGATTAAATAATTTATCTAATTCAATATACCATTTTAATTAATCATTACTAAGAATATTCCAACATTTTTAAATCATTTCAAAACATTTTAATATTTTTTATGATTCTAATTTTTTATAATTTTCTTTAATAAATCCTACTAAATATTCAACTACTGCATCACCTGCTATTTTAATCTTTATCTCATCAAATAATTAATAAAAAGATGTATCATTAGTATATTCTAATCCATTTAAAAATAAATTCAATCCTAATATCTCATCTACTTTACAAACATTTATAACTAACTCTCTTAAATAATCTTAAACTTCTACATTCTTTATTAAAAATAATTAACTTATAATATTATCTTTTAAACAAATACTTTCTACTTTTATATCACATAATAATTATTGAATCTAAGTTATTTATACTTAATTTAATGTCTTTAATATTGCTATAATAATTTCATCTAATTTTAATTCTTTGCATCTACTCAAAAATTGATTTATAAATTCCATTTTATTCTCACCCTTCAAATATAATTAAGCTTATAAACAAAATTCTTTATATACATCTTCATTATTTGCAATCTAATCTAAATCATTTAAATTATATTTTATTGTTGGTTTAAGTAATTTAATAGCTGTTTCTCTTTCCTTATGTGTTACTTTATTTGAGAAATATAATTTTCTTAGTAATTATTCATTCACATTTTCAGCTGAACATAACACTCTTCTACTGCATTCAATACAATTTGAAAATTAACATAATTCCCTTTCATCTTCCATCCCATTATAAAATTGTCTTACTCTTCTACTATACCTTTTAGATAAAATTGCTGCTTAATTAAATTCTTTATAAGCATCTTTCATCATTTAAATCATTTAAACCTTAAACTTATATTAAGATATAGCATTATAATATTCCATCAACTTTTCAAAATTTTATTATTTCACTTATTCTAAATCAGATATTATGTTATTTATTTATTGTACCTCTGATTCATTTTTTATTGGTTCAATATCTATTACAGGTTTACAAGAAAATGTTATTTAAAATGATTTCCCTTAACATCTTGGACATTCTTCAACTTCTCTTCTAAAAGTACTACAAATACAAATATTTGAGTGTCTTTCTATTTCTTATAATGGATATTCTAATGTTATTGATTATGCAATTATTGGAGGTTTGAGCTCTTATGTAAATGGAATTATTTCATCTCCTGGTAAATGAATTCTTATGCGTCCCTAAATCTCTTCCCTCATATCTAATTAAATTTCAGATATTTCATATATCTTTGAAAATTAATATGTTATGATTTTAGATTTTGCACCATTTGAAATTGGTTTCTTTATTAATTCAATCACATCTGTATGTTTGTAACATGAAAAGCAAGGTTCCATTTAAAGACAATTATAAGTGAATTCTTTATCGAAATATTAATAAATGAATTGAAATAATTCATTATTTTCATATTCTAATACATGATTAAGACATTGCTCAAAAATTGTATAATCTTTTAAACATATTCCCAATTATTGTTTATTAAAATCTGAATAAATAATATCACTCAACTTGATATTTTTTGCTTACAAAATACGCCATCCAGCCTCTTAATCAATATCTACTAATTGTAATAATTCTTAATTATTCATTTTAGTTTATATAAATAATATAAAAATTAATTAATGTTTATGAATAACACAAAAAACTAGTTCAAAATAGAAATTTTAAATCTTAAGAGTTTAAAATTATAAACATATTTAAAATATCTAAATCATCTAATTTTGTTTTTAATCAAATATATTATATTTAATAATTCATTTTACTAATTATTATTAAAAGAATTAAATTAAATAGTAAAATATATCAAAATAATCTTTTTTATAAGCATTCATTTTTTAGATAGATATGCTTATATGGAATTAATAAATTAGAAAGAATTATATAAAAATGAAGTTTATATATTATATTATTTTCATAAAAAACTTGTAATATAATTCAAGCACATTTTTATAAGATTTATATAATTTAATTAAAATTCAATTGTAAAAATAGTTTATTCAATTTATTATTGTACTCACAACTTCTGACTTTCTTTATTTTTTTACTCTTTTAAGTAAGTCTTTTTTGGAATACACTCTTCTTTAACTACAGAAATTGAGTCTAAAATTGATTTATCCTTTTGGAATCGCAAGAGATATGGTTTGATTTTCTTATAATTCAATTGATAATTCAGATTAATTAGATTTTGAATTTTAGAGATTAGATTGATTAGGTTATAGATATTGTTTAGACTCAATTCTTTTTTTATTATAATCTGTAGCATTTTCAACGTTCTTTTATTTAATTTGATCCAAAGAAACTCCTTAATAATTAGGGTAAAGTGGACTTGATTTAGATTTCATAGAATTAATACTAGAATAGGAGGAAACGGAGCTGATTGTGTCTAAAACCTTTTTTGGATGAACTAAATAAACATCTTATTGAAATCCATTGTTAAAATGACATTAATTTGTATTTAGAGATTATGTTTCATTGTTTAAAGTACTCATGCAAGAGGATCCCATGTGATTGAAAATTAAGTTTTAATTTATATATTATATGAAGTAAAGATGTATCACATTTACAAAAAAGATGGTAATTTAAATCCTTGTAATTTAGCAAATTATCTAAAGCTCAATAATGGACCATCAGATTTAATAATATCTATATTATTTTATTTAGTTGGTTGTATTTTTTTAAGATTGGTTCTTTCACTTATTTGACTTAACAAATTATTTGTTGAATGCATTAAATTATTAAATTTTTAATCACTGTCAGATTATCTATTTAGTTTTATTTAAATTAAAGAAGCAATCTTATCATTATTGAATTATCTATTATTTTCAATTTTTTTTAGATGAATACCTTATTTTGAAAGTTTAGTGTCTGAGTTATATGAGACATGTGTAGTATGTTTAGTATTACCTGTTTTCTTTGAATCTAATTAAGTAAGTATTGTTTCACTCCCTTTTGATCGTTATAATCGATTAGTCATTGATTAAGATCTTAATTTAGTATCTAATCTTTCAGTTTATGGATGATTATCACAGTTCAAACTAATAAAATTAAATGAATACTTATTTGATGAAATTTTATGAATATTGTTAAGATTATTAAGGTTTAAGGGATTAAACTCAGCTTAAATACAATTTGATTTGACTTTATCAAAGATTTGTTGTAATGATATGGCTCTTATTTATTTTCTATTCTAAATGAATGGGAGATCAGAATTCATTTATGATATTTTATATTTCTAGATTCCTCCAACTAAATTATTCATTATTTATTATAAATAATAATTATAATTAAAAAATATAAAAAAAGTATCTACGTCATTAAGATGATTATATAAGTAAATGCAAAGATTTAATTTAATATCATTAATTTTATATTATATAATGAAGAGTATCTTATTCATAACACTATTATTCATCACATTTGCAGCAGATCCAGAATAATGTTTAAAAGAAAAATGTCCAAATGAATATGCAGCTTGTCAAAAAGAAGTATTTGGTTGTGCATCTGCTGCCATGAAATGTAAGAACTAATGTGGAGGAGATGATGCTGAATGTATGTTAAATTGTGCTTTAGCTTCTAAAAATGCAAAACTTATAGCATTGTATATAATAATCTATTTTTAGAGCTGAATGTGGACATGCAAATTGCTAAGATGTAGCATTCACATATTGTGATATTTAAATTTGTGTACAATCATTCCAATCAGAATGCATGACATCATCAGGATTAAAGGCATATTAATGTGCTGCTACTTTCCTTTAAAGACATTCTGAATGTTAATGCATAACTGAATTTTGAAGAGAACATTTAATATATTAGAATGAATATTGAGTTACATATCAATATCTTTATATTAAAATGATGGTTCCATATAAAAAATATTTCGATTCCTTCATAACGTCATCAAGGTCTTATAAAAATAATCTAATTTTTATGATATATTATTATTAAATATTATCAAGTCAATCATTGTTGTTGTTCTTTTAATTCATGTATATGTATATCATAAGATCTGATTAAAGAAAAATATCCAAATGAAGTTGTTACTATTTTATTATTTAAATAAATTAGGGAATAAATTATTAATTTCTTAGTAATTTTATAATCTAATTATTAAGGAGTAGTTGTAGTAAGGCAATATTTATTTCATTTAAATAACTTATAGAAATAATTCTATATATTAACTTCTCTCTTTATATTATTATCTACTTGACTTAATTTTTTAAAATATTAAATCCTATTATGAAATTATAATAAGTGATGACATCATAATTAGATATTTTAGAAAATTATTATTCTACTTTTAAAGAAAAGATTTACATTGGATTTTTATTATTAAATTATCTCTAGTTCTACTCAAATTTCTAGAAATCTTATTAATATTTTTATTAATTATAATTTAAATAATAATAATTTATAATATCTCATCTTTTTTCATTGTTGATTGCTACAAAATTATTTGACTTTATTATATTAATTCACATAGTATAGCAAATCTCTAAATACTTAATGTACTAATTTTTTATATGGGTTTAATTATATATATCTGATTTTAAAATCAATTTTATTTGCATCATTAATTAAGTTTAAATTCCAAATTTAGTGAAAACAATTAAGACCTCTTAATTTCAGTTTTCTTTTTACAAAGAGATGATTTAAATATTTAATATAAAAGTTATACCTAATTTATTCTAAATATATTCTATTTTCAAAATAATACATTATTTTACAAGAAATCTTATAATATGAATAAAAAATTAGAATATTTTATGGATATTTAAATACATTTCATGTAAGTTTTAATAAGATAGAAAAAGAATTATTAGTTAATGAAAAATAACTAATTGATAAAATTGACTGAGAGAATATTGTTTAAGATATCACTTCAATGGTTTTAATTTATTAGAGTAATTCAATTTATTGCTTTTGGCATATCTTGACATTTGTCTCTTCTTTTCCCATTCATAATTACTGTGGAAGACAACCTTAAGATGACTTTCTACATCCATATCAAATACTATGTCTTTATTTCCAAATGGTCTATTGTACACACCTGAAATAGTTTATGTAGATGAGAGATGATGTAAATTCTTGGCAAGTGATTCAAATTCAGTTCTTGCCAATTACTCTTGTCTTATTTTTAATTATTAATTTTCATCAACTTCTACTTTCTTCAATTCTTCCAAGAAGTCTTGATTTTTAGTTTTTAAAAATTCCAAATAGGCTTTTCTGGTTGACCAATTGATATAATATTTTCTATAATGATATCCTCTGAAATGTCTTTAGATCTATGTTGCATGATAACTGAAATATTTAATATTTCTTTCATTGTATCTAGAATCGTTATTTCTTTTCATTAGCATTCTAGCTATATATCCACGAGCAAACTTTTGTATTATAACAGTTGACTATTTAATCAATTTAATACATATCTGATTTTTATATATTTAACTCTTAATTTATGCATTTTATGCCAAGCTTAAATTTTAGTGGAAGCCTTGATCTCTCTAAATCTATTCTCACCACTCTATTAAGCTTAATGATAATATAAATCTATGATTGACTGGAAATTATTCTATATAAGCTATTGATATTGCATTTATAATTATTATAATTAATAATAAATGTTTATATGTGTCTTAAATTAAGGACTTTAGATTTTATTTAATTGAAAATCTAATAAACAAAAAGTTAAAATAAATTAAGGACTTTAATTATTAAATCTTACAACTTAATAAAATTCAAATTAATAATGTTTAATATAAAAACATCATCAAATTCAGAAGAGGAATATATAGCAAAAATATTATCTACCTTACTTAAGATTAGATAATAAGAAGAGAAATCAATTGCATTACAAATAAAATGAAGTTAAATTATTACAAAATCTTAAATAAGAAGAGTTAAAAATGGAAGAATAAATTAATTTAAATTTAAAATAGGAATAAAATATATCTAATATCAATAAAAATATTGAAAAACAACAAAAAGAAATTAGAACTACAACTAATATTGAAAATAAAGGATAAAAATATTAAGAATATGGAATCTTCTAGAATGGAGCTTATACATGTTTAAAGTGTTAAAGCAGAGTCAAAAGAACTTAAGATCTACTTAAACATTGGACTGTATAACATGGAAGATAAGCAACAACTAGGAGGAAACGTAATATGATTAATGAAGAAACTTAATGCATTAAAAAGATATCCTAAGAGAATCCTAAAATAGAAAATTTAATTTGAATTGTTAATTTCTATATAAATAATTTTAAATTATAATATTAATTTATTTTAAATAACTAACAGATGTCAGCAACCTAAACTCTTTATAATGTTTAGTGTTCCTTTGGTGAACATAGGGCACAAATAACTAATTATTGTGCTTGTATTGACTGCTTAAAGCCTCTATGTCCAGAGTGCATCTAAGAACATTACTAATATCATACTTAGGCAAAGATTCCTGCTGCCATTTAAAGTATTATGAATACAAGAACTAATTGTGAAAAAAAAATTGCAAAAGCAATTGAATAATTGAAAAAAGTATATAATATAGATATAATCTAAGGAATATGAGTAATATGACATTCAATACTTGTTTAATCCTGATGAAATCTTAAATTAAGAAATCTCTAGGATGAATGAAGTAAAGTAATAGATGTTTGATATTATAACAATCTTTTTTAGATAGTTAGAAAACGTTCTTGAAACAAAAGTAAAGGAAAATCAATTAAAAGTAAAATTATCTATTTAATATTCAGGTTAAAAATATTGGAGGTATTTTCTAGAGAATTTAAACAGTAATTGACTAATTAGAAATATTAAGAAATAGTTTATTGAATAGTTCTGATCCTTTCTAACATTTTCATAAAGCCTGTAGATTAGATGTTAAATCTTTGCTTGATCGTTATAAATCTGATTTGAAGAAATCAATTAAATCTAAAGAATTAGGTAAATTATTTATTTAATTATTAGATCCAATAAATGTTCATATTGATGAACATAAACTATTTAATCTAAAAAATCAATTAAGTAAAATTGTAGTAATTCAAACAACTGATCATGATGAAATAGGAGATAATATTTCAGTTTTATCTAAAAATAAAGATTAGAGCATTAATTATAGTGTATAAGGACTATATGCACAATATGCAACTAATAATTAGAATGGACCTCATCATTTTTAATAAAAGCCAAATAAACAATAAATGAGTAATATTGGAGATAATGATGAACCTTTTTATGGAACTATGACAAATTAAGACTTTTAGATTTCTAGACCTAATTATTTTTTAGGTTAACATAAATTCTTGCATTTTATTATCAATAAAACTAATATTCTTAAAATCTGCAATTTAGAAACTAAGTAATGGATGACTTTTGAAATTGATTATTAAGTTCCAGAGTTTCATAAATCTTTTGTGGCTCCAAATGGTGATATTTACATATCTGGTGGATTAATTGATTAAAAAGATAATAGGAAAGAATCTATAATAAGAAGATATACATTGGATGGTAAGATGTAATAAATTGGATAATTGACTCATCCTAGATCATCTCATTCAATGGTCTATTGTAATTAAGCTATATATATATTATGTGGTTATTAAGAACATAGAAAGATGTCTTTAAGTTTGGAGAAATACAATTTAATTACATAAAAGATGGAATTATGTGCTTCTTTTAATAAACCAGCAAATTCACCAGCTTGTTGTGCTTTCAATGACAGATATATTTATAAATTTGGTGGAAATGATGAAAATGGATAAATCTTATTAATTATAGAGAGATATGATACATAGACAAATAAATGGGAGTATATTGATCCTGAAATCGATGAATAAGAGTCTCATAAATTTCATACTATTTACTAATGTTCAGCCTGTGTACAAATTAATAGAAATAATATCTATGTCTTTGGTGGCTATGATAATGATGATAAAGGAGTCTCATTCTCATTCCTTTTAAATATAGAAGATAATAAACATAAAATTTATTAAGTTGATACTAAACCCTTATTGTATCCTGAAGGATTCTGGAATAATTAAGTAAATTATCATACTATATTTTTAGGTTATTATTAATGATCATAAACTATATGTTTTATAGAACATAGAGGTAGATAGTAATTAAATTGATGAAATTAATAGAGCCTTATTATGTTTTGATGGATAGAGATGGAGTGAATTATAATATTAAATTTCTTATTGAATAATATATATATATTTTAACTAAATAAAATATATATAGATATATATATATATATCATAGCCATAATCTATAATATTTATATAAAACATAAGAATTTCCTTCAAATTTATGTAAAATCTTATTGTCTTGTTGAAATAAGTTACAAAATTTTATAATCAATTAGATATTCATGAAAAATGATTAAATTGATTTATAATTGAAAAGATCATTATCATGAACTTTCTTAATGCTATTAACCTTTTGCTGATCCGTTTACGAATTTAGCTTCAAATTCTTTTGGTGGAAGGCTTTGAGCTAAATTGACTTTTTCTTTTGTTTAATTTTATCTCTGTATTGTATACTGTAAATTTGATAATTCAAGCTATTCAAGTTATTCTAATTCTCTTATTTTTTAGTCATAATCAATTTTCTCTTTGATAACTTTATCTTTTTCTAATTCTACATCATATCTAATCTTATCTCTTCTGTCTTTCAATTTATTTAATGTATTTATATTTGCTTGCTTTTCCTCTTGTTTCCCCTATATAACCTTACTTCTAAATGTCTCCTGATCCATACTTCTTTATAATTTTGTTTCTTTAAGATCATGTTTATGCCAATCTCTAAATTCTTTAACTTCAGTTTTTTTTCTTAATAGCATTTCTGACTTGATTTATTTCAATGTCTCTCTTTAAGCTCTTGAGACGCTTAAGGAGAAGGGTGGAGGAGCCTCTACTTTCTACCTTATTTTCTCTTCTTTCTAATTTAATTGTAATGATCAATTGTTTACTTTTAATTGTAATTCTAATCTATGTCTATAGATTTGCTCAGCCTTCTAATCTTCTGATTATATCTTTTTAAGTATTTTCTCACGTTCTTATCTAATTTGATCGATTCTATTTTTTATTTTCATAGCCTCTTCTTCTGCATTCTTTTTCTCAACATAAGTTGTAAATAAACTCTTATTTACTATTTTAGGTAACTCTCCTGACATTTATTTATTATTATTAATATTTCTATAAAATTTGGTGATGCAAATGAGTTTTGCATTACAAATAAAACACACAAATAAATATCATATAAGCTTTTATATTTATAGTGGTAATTCTAAAGATGTTTCTAAACTACATATCTCTGACTTTGTTGAATGTTTACGAAAGTTTCTATCATCAAATTATTTATCAAAAGGTAATTACTGATAAATTTTCTAATGTGATGATTTTCTACTTTGAACAGCTGTTTAACTATTCTATTAATTTAACTTCTTTCCTAAATTTAAAAATAGTGGACAATCAGACATAATTTTATCTTATGATCCTTTCAATGCTATCATCATTGATTTTAATTATCTATTTTTTATTCCTTCTTAAGCTATCTATAATGCTTCTTTTCTTTCTTTCTATCTTTAAATTTTTTTCATTTTGTAATCCCTTTCCTAATTTATTTATTCTAAATCAAATTCTTTTATCAAAGTCTACTATGTGTTTCTAATCATACGTATCATTTAAGATGCATACTTTTTATATTCTTTATTTTATTGATTTATTTTCAAGACAATCTTAAATATAATTATATAATTTACATTGTGTTTATTTGGAGATTGAGATTTAGATAAAGTATATTCTGAAATTTCTTAAAAATTATTTTTAAAAATTGGAGAAATTTTTAATTAATCTTGAACTCTCACAGAATTCTTTTAATCTCCCTCTTCTTGTTCTTGATCCAATTCAAGAATACATTAATTATGGATTGAACTCTAAGATTACTATTTCATACTAATATCTTGTTAAGTATGATTAACATCTAAGAGTCCTAAATAATATTATCATATTTATACTTATTATATTTAAAGTCTCTTCAAATTTTGTTAGATGCTTCAATGGTGATTAAGAGTACTTAGTATCTATGCTAATATCTTTCTATTCAGTTATAGAAACATTTTTTGATATTTTCGATTAGGACATCTAAGTATCTCCCTACACCAAAGAACTAACTTGAAGGTACTTTCTAATTGTATATGCTTTATCTAGCTATAATTCTTTGTTCCTTTTCACCTTTCTGTTATTGACTTTATTCTATAAGTGTTGTGAAATTAGATAATTAGAATGTATAATTGATCCTTTTTAAGGGGATTCTGTGTTTTTTAAAGAAATAGCTGGAAAATAATGATTTTACTTTTTCTGGGGAGACAAAGATATTTGTGAATTTTAGGATTAACTCATTTTTAATTCTTAATTGAATTAAATTATTAAATAATTACAAAGAGAATATAAAGATATCATTAACCTTTAATAATAGCGCTTAAATCTTGATATGATTATTACTAAAAATTTCGTGATTTCTTGAGTAAATTCCTATTTAATAAATTACTCATCTCCTGTATTTTCTTAAGTATCTAAACCTTTTCTTATTATTTTACAGAATTTATTTCAATTTCTTAATGTTTATCAATAGATGGCAAACAATTATTCAAACTTAATGATCTTTTCTTTTTGTTATTTTTTAAAGAACTTAATTAATCATCTAATTCTTCATTATTTTTTTTATATGTTAGTTATACATGTCTATTTGTTGGTCTTGATTAAAGCAATTTTACTAATTTCTCTTACTCTTTAAATCTCAATGATTTTATAATCTCTTGCTTTCCATCTTCTCTTTCTTTTGATCTTTAATATTATTATTCTTTTTAAATCCTTTATGCTTATTCAATTTATTCTGTTACTTCTCCTACAAGATGAATAGACTTTTATTTCATTTTCCTCAATATTGATTCAGAACGTTAACGAAAATATTAATCTTCATGCTCTCTAATTTTGGTGAAAATCTAAATTTATATCTAATTAAATTCATACTTAACTTTTTAATGGTTTTGGTCTTTTTATTTTTTTTTATCTTCCTTAATGATTTTTATCATAGACAATTAATTGATTTTCTTCTATTTCTTTATTAATTTCTTTTATTGTTTCATCCCAACATTTTTCATATAACTCTTCAGATTTATCCGTTGATTTTCGATCTTTACTTGATTAGTCTCTAAGTTTTGCTTTCATTTCATAATTCTCTAAAATTAAATTAAATTTACATCTAATTTTACTGATCTATTTTAGATAATACTTATTTTATCTAACAATCTCTTTCTTCTTTTAATTGATTAATTAATTTATATTGATAATCTCTTAAGCATTTAATTCACTTTAATCTGAAGTTTTATTGATCTAACTTTATACACTAATAGATTAATTATCTTTAGATTGATTGATTTAAACAACTTGATTATTTATAGTAACGTTATCCTAAGATTAATTTGTCTATATTTGATTATATTTTTATATTATGTGTTAAGACTTACATCTATTAGTCCTATTCAATTAAACTTTCTTGTTGATTTCCACATTATCAATAACAATAGGATAAACAGATGGTAGATATAATTTATTTATTTTCTCTGAAAATTTTTTCATTGCTTTTGCAATTTAATCACTCATATAAAAATTAATATTTCAATTTAATAATTATGTGATACTATCAAGAAATTACTCTTTATTAGTTTTCAAATATTATACTTAAAAATATTATTTGAATGGTTTCTATATTTTAAACAGATTTAATTAAAAGTTAAATATGTAATCATCATAAAATTATATATATTTATAAGTAATCAAAATCATAAAAAATATTTCATATATTAGATTAACTTTTATTTTTAAATTATTTTTGTAAAAGTAATCTACTTAGATGATAAATATTAGTAATAGTTAGAGAATTTAATCAAAAACATTTTATTTTAATCATATAAACATAATATTTTAGTAGATAATCTTGATATTTCAATTTTAATCTCTTTTTATTTGAAACATATAAATGTTGTGAATTAAGTTTTTTTTAAAGTATAGGGATTTTCTAATAGAAAATGAATTTTTTCAATTTTATTATTAGAAATTTTGTTAAAATAGGTTTATATTAGATGCATTTAGTTTGTAATTCAAATATATTAGTAACTGATGATGATTAAAAATTTAATGTTGTAGGTTTTATGATCTCTTGAGAATATGTATTTTTATATTGATAAGGCTAATAAGTATTTAGAAATTGATGATGGAAAGATGATTTATATATAATAGTAAATAATTAGATATTGTAATAAATATTTTAATGAATTGCTTAACACATAGTGGTGTTTTTAAATCATTATGGACTCGTCCATTCTTTAGAGCAGGCAATTTGTATACTTGGGGTGTTCACAGTTTAGGATGTGGAATCAATCAAGATTCTTAAGGGGATCAATTGAGACCAAGGAGAATTGATGCTTTCAATGGAAATGTTTAAAAAGTATATCCAAGTGAATACTTTACAGCTGTGATAACAGGTATTGATATATAAATAAATGATAAGATAATGGTGATTTGTATACATTTGGTAATAATAATTATGGATAATTGGGATTGGGTAATACTGAATAATAATAAACACCATAACTTGTGAAATATTTTAGAGATAAGGGATTAAAGGTTGTAGATGTTGCATTAGGATCAAACCATGGAGTAGCATTAGCTTGTAATAAATATAATTAATATGACAGCTGATGGAAATATTTATACATGGGGAAGTGCAAATAATTCAGTTTTAGATTAATTGTTATGCAAACCTAATGGATTAGGTGATAATTACACTAATAATCTTCTTTAACCATAAATTGTATAGAAATTGGTTGGAACACCAAAAGGTAAATTTGTGAGTGCTGGGATTAACTACTCAATTATGGTAAATGAAAACAATTAAGTTTATGTATGGGGAGCTGGAAAAAGAGGAGAACTTGGTAATGGATGCAGTTTGAATTTCAAATATCCTGAATTGAATCCTATTTTTGAATAATTAACTAAATCTGGTTATACAATCTAAAAGATAAAGTCATGTTTTGCTGGAACTTTGGCATTATTAAGTAAGTACATATTATTAATAATTATTTTTAGATGAAGGAATTGTAGTTGGATGGGGAAGAAGTTATTATGGTTCTTTAGGTGTCAGATAATAAGAATATGTTGTTACAGATTTAGTATTAATTNTAAATATTAGTAATAGTTAGAGAATTTAATCAAAAACATTTTATTTTAATCATATAAACATAATATTTTAGTAGATAATCTTGATATTTCAATTTTAATCTCTTTTTATTTGAAACATATAAATGTTGTGAATTAAGTTTTTTTTAAAGTATAGGGATTTTCTAATAGAAAATGAATTTTTTCAATTTTATTATTAGAAATTTTGTTAAAATAGGTTTATATTAGATGCATTTAGTTTGTAATTCAAATATATTAGTAACTGATGATGATTAAAAATTTAATGTTGTAGGTTTTATGATCTCTTGAGAATATGTATTTTTATATTGATAAGGCTAATAAGTATTTAGAAATTGATGATGGAAAGATGATTTATATATAATAGTAAATAATTAGATATTGTAATAAATATTTTAATGAATTGCTTAACACATAGTGGTGTTTTTAAATCATTATGGACTCGTCCATTCTTTAGAGCAGGCAATTTGTATACTTGGGGTGTTCACAGTTTAGGATGTGGAATCAATCAAGATTCTTAAGGGGATCAATTGAGACCAAGGAGAATTGATGCTTTCAATGGAAATGTTTAAAAAGTATATCCAAGTGAATACTTTACAGCTGTGATAACAGGTATTGATATATAAATAAATGATAAGATAATGGTGATTTGTATACATTTGGTAATAATAATTATGGATAATTGGGATTGGGTAATACTGAATAATAATAAACACCATAACTTGTGAAATATTTTAGAGATAAGGGATTAAAGGTTGTAGATGTTGCATTAGGATCAAACCATGGAGTAGCATTAGCTTGTAATAAATATAATTAATATGACAGCTGATGGAAATATTTATACATGGGGAAGTGCAAATAATTCAGTTTTAGATTAATTGTTATGCAAACCTAATGGATTAGGTGATAATTACACTAATAATCTTCTTTAACCATAAATTGTATAGAAATTGGTTGGAACACCAAAAGGTAAATTTGTGAGTGCTGGGATTAACTACTCAATTATGGTAAATGAAAACAATTAAGTTTATGTATGGGGAGCTGGAAAAAGAGGAGAACTTGGTAATGGATGCAGTTTGAATTTCAAATATCCTGAATTGAATCCTATTTTTGAATAATTAACTAAATCTGGTTATACAATCTAAAAGATAAAGTCATGTTTTGCTGGAACTTTGGCATTATTAAGTAAGTACATATTATTAATAATTATTTTTAGATGAAGGAATTGTAGTTGGATGGGGAAGAAGTTATTATGGTTCTTTAGGTGTCAGATAATAAGAATATGTTGTTACAGATTTAGTATTAATTAAATCATTATTTATTAGGAAAATTATTCTCCAACTCCAGTCAATTTGAAATATTTCTAACCAAATGAAAAGGTTGTAGATTTCGATTTAGGATATAATCTTTCTCTCTTCTTAACTGATTAGAATAGAATCTATTTATCAGGTTATGATGAGACATATGTACCAAGACCTATTGATCTTCCAAAAGATGAGAAGATTCTTAAATTCTCTGCTTCTAATAATAGTTTTGCAATTTTAACAGGTATGTGAATGCATTTTATTTATTTTAGATAAAAACTTTTACACTTCTAATGAATATGTAATTCCTCAATAAAAAAGGAATTTAGGATTCTTGTTCAAAAGTCAACCAAAAGAATTATTTGAGTCTACTAATATTGAACAATTCGGAGGAGGATATAGAGTCAGATATGCAGTAGTAAATAATTGATATAAATGCCTACATCTAAATCAATATAAAATAAAACATTATTCTTTTTTATATGGTATTATTACGAATAAAATTTGAAAAAAAAATCAAATAAATTAAAAAGGATATAATTTAATGGGTAAATAATATGCAAGAGAACCTGCTGTTGCTAAAAAATCAGCTAAAGCCAAAGCAAGTGATTTGAGAACTCATTTTAAGAATACTTATGAAGTAGCTAGAGCAATCAAAGGATAAACACTTGCTTAAGCACTTAAATATATGCAAGACATTCTTTAACATAAGAGATGTGTTCCTTTCACAAGATTTAATGGTGGTGTAGGAAGAACAAGTTAAGCTAAAGAATTCGGCAGATCTCAAGGTATTTACATTGAATATTTGATTTTTAGGTAGATGGCCAGAAAAAAGTGTTAGAATGGTTTTATCTCTCTTATAAAATTTGGCTGCTAATGCTTAAGTCAAAAATTTAAGTAATGAAAAATTGATTATCAATCATGTCTAAGTCAATAG